TTCAGCTTGAGTCGGTGCAGCCGACTTGGCTGTCTTCACACTAACCACATCGATCATCCTGCGCGGCGGGTTGCTCGAGTTGTTGTTGTTGTTATTGTTGCCACGCTGGCGGCACTCAGGATCGCCACTCCAATGTCCTTGCTCTCCGCACGTGTTGCACTTCGTCTTCGCCTTTCGCTTGGCGATGTCATCCCTCGCACTGGATGATCTCTTGCTCTTCTGCCGCTTGTTCCGCCCACGCGGCGATGAGCTGCGGCTGCGACGAGTGTTTCGGTTGTTGTTGCCTCGTGCTTGGCTGCTGCTCGAGTTTCGACGTCCTCTTCCGGCGTTGTGTCCGTCGCCACGGCCACCAACAAATGCAACATCTCGCTGGACGGCACGTCCACCTCCACCACGTCCTTGCTGTAGTTCAGTCTCTTGGCGTGAGTGGTCAGCGAGTCGAAGGCGCTCGATCGCTTGCTCCCACGTAATGGACTCATCACGTCCAATACGTACTTCATGTTCGTTTACCACCGCTGGGTACACACCCACTGTATTTGACAATAGGATAGAGACGGCTTCCTGCTCAGGCAGCTGCTTGTTCGCGCGGCGAAGTCTCTGTTGGTAGTCGTCGATGTCACGAATGTAATCGTCAAGTCGTTCGTCACGTTGCAGGCGACGATTCAGCATATCTCGCTTGAGAAACACGCTGTTTACGCCAGGATGATTATCAAAATGATCTTCCAGTGTACGCCACAGTAGGATAGGATCAGCACGTTGAATAACACTTGTAAATCGCATCTGTAGCTCTTGACTTAGTCCCATCGTAAGTTCACGTTGAGCAACACGCAGTCGTTGCTTGAAACAGCCGCTCTGTCCTTCGTTACGTTGGTCTGCCATCGTTTCGCGCTCCATGATGGGGTCGAAGAGGTGTGCGACGTCGAGAATGGAGCAAATCTCGACGCGCCACGTCTGGTAGTTGGTATCGGTAAGTCTTGCGTTCAACTGCACGTGTCCGCTCTGGTTCATGCACCGCGTGCATCTGTGGTCTCCAACCATGGGTTCGTCCGTAGCGGAGTCGGTCCCGGCCTCGGTCTGGACTGGCTGCGCTGCAGCCTCGGACGTTCTTGGGTTTCTTGGCGGCTCGCTCTGACGCGTGCTGGCGCCGGCGGTAAGTTCCTCTGTGCTTGGGTTTTCTCGGCGGGGCCCGTACGGCGTCGGCACTCGCTGCGGTTGTGCTCGAGCCGCTGAGAATTCTTGAATGAGCTGCCTTTGTGGGCGTCGGGTAGATGCTTCCACTGGAATGTTCTGCACTTGCTGCTGATTTGTCAGTGTAGTCATAACGGTACCGAATTGGGCCAATAAGAGCTCGAGTTGTTGCTCAACTCGGGTTGATGACGCTTGTGACGTTGCATGTGCCTCGTCTGACGTTGTCTCGTCTGCTCTTGCACGCAACTGCAACTCGTCGGACGCGCGCGAGCTCTGCGTACTCGGGACTGGGCTTCCAGCTCTTCTTCTTGGGCTCATAACCTGAGTGATGGTCGCTCCTCGGCTACGCCGAGTGGTGACCATTGTGATGAAGGAAGTAGTCGTAACAACAGTAAGTTGCAGGGACTGAAAGTCCAGCAGGGGAGAAAACCGAGTGCTGCTGCTTGCTCTTGACGGCGCAAGTTGTCGAGTGTGTAGCAGCACACGGAAAACCCCGGTAACATATATTGGTAGGATTAGCAGTAGGATGGGGCTGGCGGCTCGCCAGCCAATGGTCCGTCGAAGTCCGGCTTCTGGACGCGAGCATCGCGTCCTGGAGGCACCTGAGCCTCAGGTTTGAGCTGGACGCAGTCCTGGCTCTTCCTCCACACTTCACACTCCCACTTGATCTGGTCGAAGCGCAGCTTCAACATGATCACCTTGTAGAGCTCACCACGATGTCCTTGGCATCTTCTAGCTGCGCTGCAGCACGACGCTTCGTCCTTGGTAGCGCTGTTCCTCCTTCTTGTCCTTCGCATGCATGAACTGGTAGTAGTAGCTTGCATTCACGCATGGCGATGATGTTTGGCTTTCACTGAACGAGCTAAGCCTTGCTGACGATCGATGCGCAGCACCTTCATCCCATCACGGCAATGTTCGAACTTGTCCTTCGGCAATGGCTTCGTCAACGCGTCGGCGATCATGTCGTCGGTGCCAACATGGCGAATCCGTAGCTGCTCGTCCTCCACGAGGTGGCGCACCAAGTGGAACTTGTTCATAATGTGCTTGTTCTTGCTGTGCTTGCCAGGCTTGGCAGTCAGATAGATGCACGACTTGTTATCGCCGATAATCTCCGGAGTCGCGAACTCCCAGCATAGTTCTTCACAGAGTCCACGTAGCCACTGTAGATCTCTAGTGCCTTCATTCATGGCAATATACTCTGCTTCCGTTGTGCTCTGTGCGTTAATCTCTTGCTTTCTTGATCCGTACGAAACCACGTTACCATTGACGAACGTCACGAACCCGCTAACACTCTTTCGGTCATCAGGGTCATTAGCGTAGTCAGCATCGGTGTAACACGTCAGCTTGACGTCGTTCCCAATAACAATATCCATCACTAAGCCGTGGTCTTGAGTACCACTCAGGTAGCGTAGCACCCTCTTTCCCATAGCGTAGTGTGTGTGGTCGAAGCAGGACAGGTACTTGCTGAGATTACGCACAGCGTGCGCAATGTCCGGCCTTGAGGCTGAGACCAGATATTGTAGTGCACCAACGAGCTCTCGGTACGGGGGCGGGGAGTCATCTTTCGCATCTGTGACCACCTCAGCGCGCAGCGCTTCCGGTGAAGCAACCGCGTTGCAACCCTCCATGTGAAATCGCTTTAGCACCTCCGTAATATGTTGCCGCTGGCAAAATACCGCATGTCGACGCTCGCTGTCGATTAGTATCTCCACGCCTAGTAGATACTTGACTGGTCCGAGAGATGTGAGTTCATACTCCTCACTGAGTTGCTTAGCAGCCTTAGCGCAAAGGTCACTAGGGCCGAGGAGCAGTAGGTCGTCGACGTACACCGTGAGCAACATGGTGACTTCTCCTCCCACTTTCCTGGCGTAGAGTCCGTAGTCAGAGTCGAGGCGCTCGAGTCCGATCTTCGTCAGGAACTTGTGCAATGTTTTGTTCCAAACGCGAGGCGCTTGCTTTAGCCCATACAAACTCTTTTGTAGCTTGCATACGTAGCGCGTAGAGTCCTCTCCAAAGCCTGGAGGCTGCTCCATGTAGACCTCCTCGTCGAGATCACCGTACAAGAACGCGGTCTTGACGTCGAACTGCAAGATGGCCCATCCGCGTTGCAGCGCGTATACGATCACGCATCTGATCGTCTCAAATCTGATAACAGGTGCGTATGTTTCACTGTAGTCAATGCCCATGCGTTGTAGAAAGCCTCTGATCACTAGTCGAGCTTTATATCGCTTAATCCGGCCCGTAGAGTCTCTCTTGAGCGCGTACACCCACTTGCACGAAATGACACGCTTGCCCTTGGCCTCCGTGCGTCGCACGAGCACCCAAGTTTCGTGCTGCTGCTGTGAGTCCATCTCAACTTGCATCGCTGCTTTCCACTCCTTCCACTTCTTTGACCTTGCCGCATGCTTGTGACTAATGGGGGTCTGCACATCCTCGACGTTCTGCTTCGTCACATTCGTCACTACGTAGTCCTTGAGTCGGGCGGATGGTTGTCGCTTCCGCTTCGGTCGCGACGTAGCTGCACTGTCGTCTGGCGACGACTTCTGCGTCGTGCATGGCTCCCAGTTCTCGTCGTCGTGAGCGTTACGTCGACTGTCCTTGGTATTCGAGGCTCCCACTCGATTTGCACATGCTTTCGCCTTATTCTTGCCCTTTGTGTTCTTCCGCTTGGAACCTCCCACTGAAGCTGCTGGCTTCTTAGCGTCCTCGCTTGGTAGCTGTGGGTCATCACTTCGAGTCGCAGACTCGGCTTCAACTTCAACACCTTGGTCCTGGCTCTTACCAGCAGTAGCCAGCTTCGCCATTTCCGCTGCTCGCTTTTCTGCAAGCTCTGCAGGAAGCTGCAGGTACGTAGACATTGTCGTCCGGATCGGCACGATCGGGATCTCCGCAGGTAAGTCGTAGTCTCCATAAGCGTAGGTGTTTGCAAGAAGTTGCTCAATATACACAGTGTTCACCGTGTACTTCTCATGTGCCTTCATGTTTCCATCTCTGCACGTCGTCACTGATCCTGTGCGCAGGTTCATCAGCTTATAGCCCTTGGTCTTCTCGCTGTAGCCAAGTAGTAAGCACATCTGCGTCCTTGGAGTGAGCTTCTCCTTTCTCTGCCGAGAATCATCAGGGATGTGCGCGTGCACCAAGCACCCCCACGTGCGCAGCACGCTGAGGTCTGGCCGCTCTCCGTACAGGGCCTCGTACGGGGACTGCTGGTCCTTCAACACCGGCGTCGGCGTCTTGTTGAGCGTCTCAATTGCATGTAGGAAGGCTTTCTTTACACTTCACACGAGCTACGACAAGTAGAAATAACTAGGTACTGCTTGAGTGTAGGCTTCTGTTGCTTTACTGCAGATACGCGACGTAAATTGAAACGGCTGGGCTTGAGAGAAGCTCATTTCGTACAACCCACTATCTGCAAACAGCGCTAGCGTGAGAGCAGAGTACACTGGACCATACGCTAGCCGCGGTCGCTGCAGCTTGGTTCATCGTCATCCTCTCCGCCTGCGCCACGAACTCCATCTCCTTGAGCAGGGACCCCAGTGGGTTTTTTGTGGCACGGGGTTACGGTAACGTTGGAAATACCAACCCACCCGACTGTTATGGATTATTGATTGTACAGAGTTTAGATCTCGATATTTGCGATGTATTATTAAAGGTCATCAAATTTTACTAAACATATATATAATATTGAAGGGGTTAATGAACGCGTAATTTTCTAACTTAACGTTAAATTGCAAACCATTTTCTTTTGTGAATTGCTTTTTTTAAAGAGCATCATTTTGACAGACAATAAATCGACAAGAGTCAAATACAAAATGCGCGGCGAGAGCCAACGCTTGTCGACGCACCTCAAGGCTGCATTCGCTGAGATCGAGCGGCTGAGGGTCATATATAGCCAAGCAATCGAGCAACTAGCAGCCTACGTGCTGACAAACTTGTCACCGCAATCAGCCGCGCAGTGGTTCGAGATGGTACGCTAGAAAAATTAGCTGCCAGTCAACTGCTCAATGCTAATCCTGCCTTGTCCCTGCAGTATCTTCGTGTTGTAGACTTAGGGGTGCAGATCCGTCGCGGAGAGATCCGCCACCGTACAAAGCAACAATTTAAATACCCGTGCATGCAAAAGACTGGTACCGAGGGGGCAGTGCATTCGGGTACGAAAGTGGACAACAACTGCTGATTTTTAGATGATCATTTGATGCTAGCTTGGATATTATGCAGGTCTGGGTATTGACGATGCCAACGTAATTTTACAGCGGATGGAGGATGGAGAATGGGTTAAGCAGAGTCGTCTGACGAATTGGTTTATGAAGATGGATACATTGGATAGAGATACCATTGGATCACTAGACGAGAAGGTCATCGCGTGTCTCGAAGACTTTCAAAGACAAAAAAGTGTTTTTTACGATCGGTTAGAAAAGACAGGAGAGGACCCTTACGAGGCCATGGTAGTCTTTGGGGCACCTGGGGCTGATGGCTCGATCCTAGCGAAAGTCACTCGAGCGTGTTTCCATTTGAAGGACTGTTCATGCCTGGAAGACGCCGAACCTTGGAGAGAATTCTGCCTCGAGTCAGCTGACCCTCATGCTCAAATTCCATCGTCGACTGTAGATACAGCTGCAGGGAATGATGTGGGTATGAAGGATATCAAGCGCCAAATGGGGTTTGAAGAGCTGTCACGAGAAGAGAAACACGAGGACACGGCGGCACTTGCACGAGATGCTGCAGAGTTAGCTCGACGTCGGATACCTCGAACTATGGCTGTTGTGGCTGGACAGAGTGTCTTGCTATCAGCTCGAAGTATTTACCAGAAAAAGGTACGTCGTATACTTGCGAGATGATCCAAGCCATGATGGACTAACTGGTGTCTTTTATTCAGTGTGAAGAGATTGGTTCTAAACCCCAAAAGCACATCAAGGAGCTCTTGACTGTGAAGGATGGCTCGCATCATCTCCACATGTCTGGTATAGGTTTCCACGCAGCGGAAGATCTTCAAATGTTGGTGGACATTTTCTCTACTCATGGGTTACCTCTTGTGAAGGAGCTGGATATCTCCAATGGATTTTTCAATGCTGCAGCGTTCCAGATGCTCTGTCAATTGTTGCGAGTGCCGCAGCTTCGTCAAAGCCTCGAACGACTCAGTCTCCGTGGCATCGCTGTCCCTCTGCGTGGTGACTTTGCAACCCTTTTGCAGAATTTAACGAGCGATTCCAGCTCTTCTGTACCTGCGCTTGGCAACTTGAAGACGCTGGATATCTCGTTCAACACGTTGTGGTTTGATGGTGCGACGCAGCTCCAATCGCTGCTCAGTAGCCTCCGCTGTCTCGAAAACTTGTCGTTGGAATCCTGCTTCCCCGAACCTGAACTGTCAAGAGATCGCCAAGCGTTAGAAGAGAGTGTACATGGAGCTCTCACGGACGTGAGTACTCGACTGGAGTGTCTGAATTTCGGATCAAATTATGTTGCCATGGATTCGCATTGGCTCGACGCTCTCTTCGCGCCAGGAAGCACTTTACAGAAGCTAGAGCTGTGCGGAATAAGCAGCTCCTCGAGTGACGTCAGTGATTCAACGGAGCCGATGGAAGTGGACTGGCAAGCGGGTGAAACGTGGGACCTTCAACAGATAGAAACGTTGAAATGGTCCTCCAATAGTGGTGTGCACTCGGACAAACTACTTGGTGCTCTCTCTGCCGAGTTGCAAAGTGGCTTTGCACAGTTGAAACATCTCGATGTAGAACTCAAAACCTCCGAGCGAAGCAAGAAAGTCGCTGATACAATCATGCACATCGCCGACTACGCAGTGCTGAGGTCGTGTCGACTCTGCTGTTCCACTCGCACAGCCTTCACGCACGGCGTGCAGGCGTCTATTGCACGCCTTCTGGAAGATGGTCTACAAGAATGTGAGTTTTTGACGTTGCGCGTGCCACAATTGGATCTCGAACCACGCTCGATCTGCGAGTTATTGTCGAGTGCTGTCGTTCCCAAGATGAAGAAAATGACGCTGGCGGTTGGGATTTCTCTAGGCGGTCAAACGCAATCAAAACTTGAGTCGTGTTTTCTTCAAATGCGCAAGATTCAGACACTCACGCTAGAATTTCACGACCAAAGCCACGCAGTTGAAGGCGTCGGAGCCTTTGCTCGAGAACTGGAAACATCTTGGCTGAGTGACCTGAATGCATCCGATAGTAAAGTGAAGCGCTCGTTTCTCTTATCGGAGCAGCAGAAAGCAACAAAGAGGATTTACCGATGCCGCTTTAGCGCAGTGACAAGCTGATCGCATGATATCAAGAAAACTGCATGCCCGAGGCCTCGAGACTGTGCATCTCACGCAAAAGTGCTTTGGCTTCTTCTTTCTCTGGCCCCTGCATGTCCAGCAGTCGGTTGCAGAAGATGGTCGCTTCAGCGAACCGCCCCAGCTGCTTATAGTAGCTGGCAAGAAAGAGAATCGCAGCCAGGGCCTGAGGAGTATCAACACGGATGCTCCCGCCACTGCCACCGGGGAGCACGAGGACGTCTGTCTGACCTTCAGCTGACATCGAACTCTCGTCTTGATCGTGTAAAACGGACTCTGGAGCGCTACGAAGACCGAGATGCAGGAGGTAATACTTGGCAGCCTCGTGCTGTCGTCCACGTGCAGCATACAGTCGACCCAGATGATATGAAGCGATCCCTTCACGATCTTGGTTATTGACAGCACGATGGAAGCACGCAAGTGCTTCGTCCTCCTTATTGAGCTTCTCGTAGCAGCCACCCAAAGCGCACCACATGCGCGCGTCATACGGACGGATCGCCACTGCTTTACGGTAATAGTAGATGCTGTACAGGAACATGTTGAGGATCTCGTAAGCCTGGCCAAGTCCATACCACGCTCGATAATCCCGTGCGTTGAGATCAACTGCGTGACGATAGGCTTCAACAGCTGCACTGGTGTTCTTCATCTCGATATACTCGTGGCCAATGAGCGTCCATGCGGAGAGGAAGTTCGGGTCCAGTTTCAACGCTCGATGGAAGTAAATAATGGCGCGGTCATGTTTGTTCTTGATGGAGTAGTAGTTCCCGATGATACAGCACGTCTCCGGTCGGTATTTCTCCACTTTAAGAGCTCGATGTGCCAGTCGACTGAGCTCTGTCTTGTCTTCTTTCACGTACAACACGTTCGAGTACACGTCCATGCTTTCCATGCGATGCGGGTCTTGTGCTGCTAGGCGCTCGAATTGTTCTTGTGATTGGTCAAAGTCTCGAATGTGGTAGCTGGTTAAGGCTTGCTGCGCCAAAAGATACGTGCTTTGTGGGAACTGGTCTTCTAAGCTCGTCAGCAACTCGCGTGCAGCGTCATTCTGTTGCTGGTCGAGTAGGATATGAGCTTGGAAGAGCTGGAACATCCAAGAACAGCTCGTCGCGAGGATAACCTCTTCTTCCTGTCGTCATTGCAACGCATTAAAGACTAATAGCACAGATTAAGGCGGACAGCTACAGCACGTACGCTGGACAGGAAAGGAGAGTGCGCGGCAAGCTCCATCCAGGCCGACCAGTTCCATGGATAGCGTCGGATGGACTCGATCAGGATGAAGCGTGTGGTAACGTCGAATGTCAACGTGGCAGGCCCGTTTTTGCTTGCCAGTTTGCCAGCATTAGAGTCGTCGACTTGCTGACGCTTCTGTTCTTCTGCGAAATCTGCACGATGACGGGTCTTCATACTGACCGGAGTCGAGGATTGCGCTTGTGTACTGCCCGTACTGGTGCTGTAGCCTAGACGCTTAAGAACGACAGCATATAAGTAAAGACCGAATCCGTCCAGTGAGTTCTGTTGGTATGCTGCGCTGAGTGCCAAGTACAGCTCCTTGAGATGAGGATTGGAGCCTTGGCGGTGTAAATTGCGATCCATCTCTGGTAATATCAGTATTGAAGTCTGTTAGTTGCCGGTAGTTAGGACACTGCGACAGGTTACATGCACGACGGACCTTTGCTGCTGCCTGTTACGTTCATCTCGAGATCCATCTCCTCCTTTGCCTTCTCTCCGGCAAGATACAGCGCGTAGTTTTTAAGGAAGCGTGTCTTCTGCGTGGGGCAGTGAAGAGCATCAACGTCGCTTCTATCGCTGTGCGACAGCATGTGGTGAGCACGGAGGTACTCGCCCACGTCGAAACAGGCTTTGGCAGCCTCGAAGCGGTCAATCTCCGCCCAATCCTCGACATCGCTGCCTTCCTCCTCGCTTTTCCTCGCTATGTACGAAGACTGAGCGTATGCTGCCTCGCCCATACCGAGTAGAAGCTCTGCTGCAAACTGCGTGGCCTGTTTCAGCCCACGGACGCGCAGGTCACGCACAGCAGCGCGCAATTGAGCCGCCACCACTGCAGCTTCCATCTCGACCATCATTCCCGAGGGTATTCAATCACAGGTGTCTTTATAATGAGGGAACATAGTGACACCTTTCACTTCAACATGTTCAGTGTGTGCAAGATACGTGTAGATAAAGTTTGGTACACAGATACATACAGTAGATACACACTTTTCAACAGTAGGCATACAACATGCAACAACCTCTGACATATTATCAAAAATCATCATCTTCGCTATCGGCATCCTGAACATCTAACTGATCTGGAATGGAATCCAGGTCGTTAGTATCGTCGAACAAGTCGATATCATCCAGTTCTTCACCAAAGTAGTCGTACGTGTCCACTGAGTCGAGTAGGCTGCTGTTGATGTAGTTGAACGCCAGCTTTTCCATTGTGACAGCATTCATTCGGTTCCGTCGGATCGACCACAGAAAGGAGTACACACTCCACACTCGTTCTGCAGCCAGGGATGCCGAAAAATAAATTGGTGCTGCAACTATTGCAATAAGAAAGCACCAATTATCTATTGGAGACTTTCTGGAGAGGAAGATCAATTATTTATTTTCGCTCCCGTTGTAGCACCAATAATCTATTGGGCGGTGTTTAATTGGCCATACATTCTTTGATACTGGTGCCCTCGCTGTGTACCAATTTTGCAAAATACCGGCAGCTATGTTCTTCGAGGTTTGCACAACTCCACCTGTGCTTACTGATTTCAGGAAAAATGGCTTGAAGCCTGGAACAATGACGACGTAGTTAACGATATGCTCGTTTGAGTCGTTTGACCACCCATCGCTGACAATTGAGAACCACTTTGCTGACCGAATGGCTTCTCTTACACGCGACAAAACTTTGTTGTAGGTCGAATTGAGATGTTTTCCAGCAATCGAACGCGCCGATGGCATGATTTCAACGTAGGATGGCCGTAGAAGTCGAATGACTTTCTTCATGGCTTCTGAATCTATGACTCGAAATGATATCCCAGTACGGAATACCAGATCTGCAATTGCAGCGTCGATATGAGCGGCATCAGCTTTTGAGATGGCGTCCAGAAAATTAGCCGTCGTCTGGAGGAAGAGGCGTTTCTTATGCGGACTCGCAGGACGAACGTGAGCTTCAGCACGCTTGGTGCCAACCGACACAACAACTCTGCCGGCACGAAGATGTTTCAGGTCCATGAACAGGCCTTTTTCGTTTTCACTTATCCCTTCACAGTTGTTTGAGACCTTGTGTGAAATGACGCGCTCTCGCACCCACGGAACATCGCGTCGACAAACGCGACACTTGCCTTTCTTGACGCCTGATTTTGACAAGTATGAGTTGATGTCGAACTGCAGAGGGTCGGGTGTTCTTCTGGCGGATAACATCGTGTCGATCGCGTTAATGAAACTGGACGGCGGAGATACCATTGATGAACACGTTGTCGTAAGATGGCGCTGGAAGAAGGGTAGACTTGTACTGTAGGGTGTTGGGCAGAGCAGATCAAAAAATGGCGCTTCGGAGAGTAAACACCATTATATAGACATCTTGGTGAAGCTCGCTATAAGTGAACAAAGTCGTCTTTAAATGTGCTATCCCGCAATACTCAAGCGCGCTTCAGATAACCTACTTATAGATGAAGCATGTCGACACCTTCAACATCTTATCCATAGCTGAAATCCTTTCTGGTTGAAGGAGCTTTGTGTGCAAGATACACGTTTCCGAATTTTAGTACACACATACTTTACGTATTCCTACGCGTACTCTAATCTACATGTATCTGTAGATGCGCACACTAAACATGTTGCATGAATATCTCTATCTAAGCACACGACGAGCGATCTCTTGCGGCGTGAGGTCTGCCGGAACTGAGCCTTGCGCGAAGCTGGCGTTGCCACCTCCACGTCCGCCCAGCGACTTGACCACTTGTTGCATGAGCTTTCCAGCGTGCACCTTCGCTTCAGCGTTAGCTATACACGCTATCTGACAACCCAGCAGGACCACAAGCACGCTGCTAGGCGACGCTTGCTCGGCCAGGAACTCAGCGCGTCGCTTGAGCACCTTGGAGAACTCTCCGCCTCCTGGGACATTCAAGGCATGCAGCTCAACGTGAGGCGCAGTAATAGCCCCGTCAATAGCTCCCGATGCTAGTGGAGTAGAGGGAAGCGTGGATAGCACGTCGCCGAGAGCTTGGACTCGACTCTCGAGCTGTTTCATCTGCTTGTGCATCTTTGCAACACGCTCCACCACCTTGGCCGGTGTAGTCGACAGTTGATCGGCCACATCGCTTAGTGTCTGAGCCTTCGCTTGTAAATACCGAGCACCGGCGTGTCCTGCCACCGCTTCAACTCGTCTCGTGCCGGCAGCCACAGATCCTTCACTCACCATTGCGAACGGGAAAATTTCCCGTACATTATTCACGTGAGTCCCTCCACAAAACTCACTCGAAACAGGGGTCTCAGCTTCCCCACCGACTCGAACGACGCGTACAACATCTCCGTACTTGTCACCGAAGTTGCAAATGGCGCCGCTGCGTTCGGCATCTTCTCGAGGCAGCTCTACAGTCGACACATCCAGTTCCGCAGCTGCGAACGCATTCACTCTGGCTTCCACACTTGCCATCTCGTCAGCGGACAAGGCTCCAAAGTGGGCAAAATCGAAGCGAAGACGGTCGCTAGTAACCTGAGAACCTGCTTGCGTCACATGCTCGCCCAACTCAGCCTTGAGCGCTCGCTGCAACAAATGCGTTGCAGTGTGGTGTACAGCACAACCGGAACGGAATCTGCGGTCCACATGCGCCTCCACTGTAGCTTCATTAAGGAATAGCGCTGAGATGTCTTCGAACGTCGTATCTTTCGGTAGCGTGCACTTGATTGCAATGGCGTCCTCGTTGATCTTTATCGTGTTCTCAACAGGAATTGTTAGGTGTTTTAAACTGTCCTGGGAGGGTAGAACTAAATGCCCACGATCTCCAACTTGACCTCCTCCTTCCGGGTAGAATGGACAGCGATCAAGTATCACACTGAATCCAGCAGAGCCTGAGCCAGACCAGCAGTCCAGGACGCGAGCTTTAGACACACTGAGCTGTTCATAGCCCACAAACTCGCTGACCACGGTCGCTGCTGGAGTAGACGAAGACTGTTCCGAGGAAGCTTGAGTATGGAAGACACTACGGTCACTGGTTTGCTGCTTGTGGCTCTTCCTACAGGCGTCATACCCTTCGGTATCGACACTGAGACCCTTTTCTTCCGCCAGCACTTGAGTGATGTCAAGAGGGATACCAAATGTGTCATACAGACGGAAGGCATCAGCGCCTGACAGCATGACTTGGGTCTTGGAGAAAGCCTTTTCAATAGCCCCACGGCCATTACGAAGCATCTCTTCAAACGCTCGTTCCTCGTTGGCAACTATCGCTCGCATTTGCTGGAGCCCTGCAGCCTCAGACCATCCTGGCACTGCAATCGAAGCTAGAATGCCGTCTGAACCACTTCGAACGCCAAGTTGCTGAGCATGGCGGATGGCTCGCCGGATGATACGACGAAGAACGTAGCCGCGGCCTATGTTGGACGGGAAAACACCGTCCTGTAACAATGCGTAGGTCGCACGAAGGTGGTCACTGACGATGCGGAGAGTTTGGATCTCTTTACCAGTCCCGAAAAGATTCTTACGGGGATCAAGTTCTTCTTGTAGAGCGCTAGTGAAAGATTGACGTAAGGTTGACGACCGGTTGGCGTCCAGTACAGTAGCTACCTCAGTTAAAAGAGGTACGAAGACGTCTGTGTGGTAGTTAGAAGGGACTCCTTGCAGAACAGAAGCCACGCGCTCAAGACCCATACCGGTGTCGACTGAGCAGTTGGGAAGTGCGTGTAGTTCGCTGTCTCCTTCGTTACGGAAGAATTGCATGAAGACGAGGTTCCACAGCTCCAAGAAGCGCTCGTCGGGGTCAGCGATGTGGTCTCCTAAGTCCCAGAACACTTCCGAGCACGGGCCACAAGGACCTGAGTCGCCCATGGCCCAGAAATTATCGTGTTCGTCCAGCTCCTGAATTTTGTGGTCGGGTAGTCCAGCGATCTGCTTCCACAGACGACGAGCCTCTTGATCGCTCTTAAGTACCGTAACGTGTAGTCTGTCAATAGGAAGCTCTAATTCCTGGGTGAGGAATCGCCAGCACATTGTAATTGCCTGTTCCTTGAAGTAGTCGCCGAAGCTAAAATTGCCCAGCATTTCGAACATGGTATGGTGGCGACGTGTAAGTCCCACCTGGTCCAAATCGTTGTGCTTACCACCAGCACGTACACAGCGTTGTGCTGAAGTAGCTCTGGAGTATCCGCGTGCCTTTGCTCCACCATCAATACCCAGGAACGCCTGTTTGAATGGCACCATGCCGGCGTTCACGAACAGCAGAGACTGGTCACCTCCGGGCGGCACTAGTGACGCGCTGGGCACGACGCGGTGGCCTTGACTCTCGAAGAACTGTAGGAAGCGGCTGCGCAGCTCTGTGGACGGAAGTGAGTGCATGTTGCGGACCGCGGAGCTCCGCCGGACGCCCGCACTCCCGCGAAGACGCAGCATCCGTCTCGTCCTCACGATTTATTTTTTTGACTCGCATAAAAGTTCTATAATTAAGTCAATTCGATAGGATTGCTGATCAATCACCGTTTTTATTTCTTCTCACCAATCCTAATCAAATTCCCGCGGGACAATCGAAAATGGAAGCGGGGCAGCAATATGCGCGTCAGCCGCTGAGCGCAGGGCGAGACATGGAAGAGGAGATGCAGCGCGTGCTGCAATTCCTGGATACGTCAATGATCACGCCGCCGTCCGGCGGCGACCTCGTGACGCAGCAGACGTCATCTCAGCGATCAGAGCAGCCTACGCCAGAGCATTTGCGAGAACTGGCGGAATTGAACGAGAACGAAGGAACGGCAGCGTACAGTACGCTTGGTGAAGTGATAGATCTGTTGGGCTCACTAGACGCTAATGACACGGACCCGAGTCTGCTACAGCAGCGACAACAGCAGCAACAGGACCCCTCGCTCTATAACGGCAATGCCGGCACTGGAATGCCACGATCGACACCACCTAGCGATAATATTGCCGCCCAAACAGTGCAATTGCCTCGCTCGACCTCTGTGAGTAGCAGTCACAGCGGCGTGGACAGTATCTCACCTGTCGGTCTGCTCAGTGGTCCGTCCATGTCGCCCGCCACGATCAACTGGTTGCAGACACTCGTGCCGTCGACAAGTACCGAGAGCCTAACAGGCCTCATCTCGCCTGCTACGCTTTACGGTGCCGGTGGTGGCTCTGCCTCTGGAATTAACGTAACGGGAGGGATTATCACTAGCGCTGGATCAAATATCCAAGCAGAAGGAGCAAACCCCACGAAAAGCGACGAACTCCCACGGTACTGTATTGGTTTTATTGCAACTACGCCAAACTGCATTTACTTATAAAGATTTTATTGTGTTTAGGACGCCGTCATGCGAGATCATCGACTGGAAGGCTTACAATGAGTCAACGGATAAAACCCAGAAAGGACCGTCCAAGTGGCGTGTTATCCCTCAGCACGGACCGCATGCCGACCCAGCACCATCGTCCAGCTCTAGTAACGGCGTAAATTCTAGACTCCCGCCTGGAGGTGCCGGTGCAGTGACTACTGGCACAGAGCTGAGCGCACAACAGCAAATGTACCTAGCTGCTCGGAAGATGACGGAGGAGAAGAACAAGCGGAAGGCACTCGTGTCACCCGAATATGTCCAGTACGCCAACCCCGTCTCAGCGGGCGTTCCAGCAGTCCCACGAGATCCCTCAACTAGCATTAAGACGGAGCGTGGGTCGGTCCAATACGCGACAAAAGTCCCGGAACCAACTGGACGTCGCCCATTTAAAAAGTCGCTGCACCACACAACAGCTCCTGGTGTCCAAGCAAACCAGCAGCAACATAGTGACTCTACATCTTCCTCATCGTCTAAATTAAACGGAAAAGACGAGGATGTACGCTGCAAATGCACGGGAAAATGCCGGAATGCTCGCTGTGCGTGTGTGAAGGCTGGACTGGTGTGTGGTGCTCAATGCAAGTGCGTGAGCTGTGCAAACCCATTCGTACCGATGGCCCGCGAAGGTATCGACATCCAGCTGATGGTGCGTGACGTCTGCTTGATGCAATATCTGTCCAAGATCAAGGACATGCAAGAGCTGCTGGACTCGACGGTAAGCTACGAGTGCTGCGAAGGAGGCGGCGGCGTTGTGCAAGTTAAACACACAGTGGAGAACGGCTTCGCCTGTCCTCATTGCCACGCGCACTTTACGTATTCGTGGTGCAACAACCGACTGTGCCCCGACGCCAAGAAGCCGCGTCGTCATTGCGCTAAGTGCCGTCGATGTGGTGACCATCGTAACCAGCACTGCGACTTGTGCAACCATTGCTACTTTGCCGGCGTGGCCAACAGCTTCCGCTGCAGTTGCCAGTCTGGTGGTAGTGGCGGTGGTGCCAAGACAAGAACGGTAGTGCCCAATCCAGTACGCCGAGATCCCGATCCTTCCAAGAATGAAGACATGGATACACCGAACGGCCAACCACGCTTCGGAGCTATTAACCCAGCAGTTGAGGGCTCTACACGCGACGAAAACGCTGATGCCAACAGCAGTGCAAAGACAGATGAAGAGGCCGACGACTCATGCAAAATGCAGTAAATAAAATGTTATCAAAGCTCTGTAATTGCCATAATACGATTATCAAACAAACCACAGGACAACAGCAAGAGATGCCAGTCCAACTCGAGAGAAACTACATGAAGTCGACGCGATGTTTTCAAGGCTTGGCGTACACACTACCAACGGTTTGTCTGTATCTGGATCGGCAGCATTGTCTTTGAACGGTGAGCCCGGGAATGGTGCTCGGTAGTATACTAGTTTTTGATTCTGAGTCACAACAATTGTTTAGTGCAAGTCTTCATGAGATTGTCAATTGTATAAGGTAGAACGTACGACCCAAGTGGAGCTGATCTCGGCCTCGCGAGCGTTGACGTACTTGGGGTCCCCACAGCGCCACAGGTCGCTCGAGTACTGACAGGCCGTCATGAAGTTCTCACACACACTGCGGCATAGCAGCAAGCTTCGACCTTCGGTGTCACAACGAGGGAAGTTGAGCCAGCAAAAGTAGTTACGGAAGGCATTCTCGCAGTCCGGGTTGTCTGTGAAGCGCGGTGTGATAGCTTTCGTTCCACCCCACTCGTCTGTATCGTCATCTGCCATGGCGCTGCTTGTCTCGTAGATCTTGCGCTGACTGACGAGTTTGGTGAACATTTGCTCTACGAAGCGATCTTTGGACAGAGCGGAATGGTTGTACCAAAGACTCTGATAACGTGGAAGACATGCCGTGTACGGAATGACAGCCTTGCAAAATGGTAGCAGCAGATCAAAGTCAGTCGGCTCCATGCACTCACCCGTGTCTGCGCCGTCTAACATGCATGCGTCGATGGACGTAAAGAGAGGATATGCTGCACATAGCAGGAGGGCACACCACCTCATGAATGCACGACCTTTTATGATCTTGATCAGATTTTTTTAGAGGTTTCACTGAGAGATTTTGTGTGATTTTTCAGGCCTTAAAAAAGTTTTTTTACTTCGATGTAAGTAAACTTAAAATACTTGTTTAAACAAAAACACTTAAGCTGGTAAAAGAAACGGAAGCACTAAAGTCTAGGATTCCAACAATAAAATTTGTTTAGATTTATAAAAAGGATTATGTCCAGGATCGGTAATTTACTCAAAAATATCTTTCACGGAGTGGAAGTCCCATTTTTAAAAGCGACGCGTGATTGAGAGTCGACGTCGAGGACGCCTGGAAGCATTCGCGAGGGGGCGCACGAACGCTACGACAAGCTCGGCGCTGACAGCATCGCGCGACGCACGCGCAAGAGCCGACAGGCATCCCGCGAGGGCCATGCTGCACCAGTCAACGCAGATGAAAGAAATGATGCGGCAAACGGTGACGAAGAAGACCCAGAAAACCAAAGTGGCAGCGACCAAGAGGGCGGCGACGACGCAAATAATAGTGACGACAATGCTGCCGGTGAGAGGGGTGTCGAGGAAGTGGGGGAGGGGCCAGTGAAGTGGAGGAGGCGGTTGGTGAAGTAGAGTAAAATGAGGAGGACGTGGATGAAGCTGGTAATGGGCGCGACGCTAAAGCTGTTGATGATGAGGACATGGCCTCGGACAGTGATTCAGCCCAGGATTCAGCCCAGATTTCAGCTTGTGTTGATTCGAATCAAGTGGTTGTGGTGGCTCCAACTACGTGGCACACAGATTGGGCAGCATTGCGGAAGTATTTTGACAATTACTGCGAACAGACGATGCAAGTGATATTTTTTTTGGGGACCATGGGGCGTGCAGAGCGCAACAGACGTTTAATGAAGACCAAGAAAGGGCTCGCCGGCTCGGGTTTGGTTCCAGAGGGTCTAGATCCGTATCAGCGTACATACATCTGCATGCCCGGATGATCGCAGAGAAAAGCGAGACGGAAAACGGATTGTCCATTTCGGTTTGTGGCCCAGTGGTAGAACTGCCAAGGAGTTTGATAGCTGGGGGTGAAACTGGGCAGGTTCGATCACAACCATAGCGTATCGAGAGAGACGTATGCTTCGTATCCATGTGCGCGCGGCGTATCGAACGTTGTGGTTGCAGCGGGTGTGGAAGAAATGTTTGCAGTTGGAGCGAAACGTTCCAAAATTTACGACTACCTGCTGGAGCACGATCAGAACGTGATTAAAGCAGATGTGGACAGTATGGTGCAAGATTTTGCGTCGTCAGTGTCGTCGCTGGACGAAAACAACGCTACTGATGCTGAAGTTGGAGATTTGGCCGCGGCTGACCCAGTGAATTGTACGACCATCTCTGAAACTGAGAACGAGGAGATCAGGGGTGATTTTGCTGTGTACAGCGTTCATGCGTCAGATATTCAGCCACTTTGGAGAAGTGCTGTTGGTCGACTGTACGCACAAAACTAACAGGTAAGTTATGTGCTTGTCCAGGATTTATATATGATTTCAACAGGATTAATGCATTATGGTGCTGTGTGTGCAGATACAACTACCAGCTTTAAACGTTTATGATAGTAGATGATTTTAGAGAAGGTGTAGTCGTGCAGCATTCCCTTTTAGAAGCAAATGAAGACTGGCATATGGACCGAGCAATTGCTCATTTAAAAAAAGCACATCCTGACGGTCTCAATTTGTTGCGAGTGATTGTGGTTAACAAGGATCTGAATGAAGCTCGGGTATTGCAGTCACATTTTCCAGAAGCTCGTGTTTTGATTTGTCACTTCCACGTGATAAAATACCTGAAGGAGAAACGTTCGAAGCCAGAAATCGGGAAATTTTCTGCTGACGATGTTTTTCAAGTTGATGCAGCGGTACACAAGCTTGTGTATGCGTCTTGTCAAGACGAATATGACACAGCACGAGCCTTGCTTCGCAAAATTTGCTAGATAATTGGAATTAGTGGATTTTGTGAGTACTTAACTCGTAACTGGGATTCGTATCAAAAAAGGTGGGTCATGCATTTGAGAGCAAAGCTGCCGTACTCTCGTAATCGTGCAAATAACCGACTTAAGAGATTTTTTGGACAGCTGAAGGATGTGATCAACAGTAGTATGAGCATGGCGCAGTGTGTGGAGGCCTTAGTTTCGGGCGGCCGGCGGGTGGAGAAGGAGTACAAGTACCGTTTGACTCGGATCAGGCGGTTTGTGAATACAATCTACGATGTAGGGATGGCGAACGTTACGATTCACTACACACTACATCGCTGAGCAGATCGAGCCAGAGTATGCTGCCGCATTGTCTAAGGCTGACAGCTACAAGTACGAGGTAGAATCTGAAGATACCGAAATCGTTTTGGTGTTTGGAGCAAACAGATCGCATCGAGCTCGCTTGGCTGATTAGCGATGCAACTGTGACTTCGCTTCATCCTTCCGACTCTCGTGCCGTCACGCAATCGCATATCGAAATCACGTCGGCGTCGCCGCACCAAGTATACATGGAGCTGTATTGATGAAAGGTTTGTCGTGATAGATTATTACAGAATAGTTGCAGGATTATAACAGGATTTGTATATGATTGTAGATGGACAAGCCCAATAACGACGCTGCAACCAGTGCGTCAGCTTCAGTACAAGGTGTTCGATGAAGATGCATCCGTTTCCAAACGTAAAAATTCTCGTACACACGCAAGAACGTTATAAGGAGGCAGCTTGAACTACATATTTGATTGCGTCTGAACTTGCAGATCTTAGTGACGAAAAGGAATTCGAAGCGATGCTAATTAATAGTTTCGCTCTCCAGCAGTGGAGAAACGTTAGGCAAAATTAGCAGGTGTCTTCTGAGGATACAGCTCACAAACGAGAACAAGAAAAGGCCACAGAGGCGAAGGATAGTGGTAACGAGAGTCTTGAAACAAGCGACCGAAGCTCAATTGAGTGTCCCGATACAAACAATGCAAGCTCCGAAACGCAAACCTCTTCTATTCAAGTTAAGGTGCGCATGAACGCAAAGGCGCGCAAAGTGGGACGTCCGCAGAGCCATCGTAAGATTACAGCAGCCAGCGAGAGATCTGATCGATAGTGGTTCAAGGTAGCTGAAAAAAAGGGCGAGCTACAGCTGGAGTGGAAGCACTAGAAGACCTAACTAATTCTCTGAAAGCTGAGCAACCCCGTCTAGTGGAAACGCAGCGCCGGCTGTCGGGTGTGCTAGCGAAATATGCACACGCCGCCGACCAGCGACCTCTGTTTCGGAGGATGCGAAATCCTGTATTAATCCTGGATCCATTCTATATCATCCCGTCCAAGCTCCTGAACCACTGCATGCGAGTTCTTCTAGTTTCCAATACGAGTCTGAATCCCGTGGGTGTGTAACCCATTGTGGACGACTCCGTGGCATCGTCCAGTCCCGTCGTAGAGGTGGTCCAGATCAACATGTGGGGTCTTTTTCGAGAGAACAGACCCAGGTGATGAAACGAGTTGATATTTTGAAGCAAATGGTGCAGCTTAGTATCGACACACACACAAGGGGTTAACCGAGGAAGCTCTCCCTGCACTTAACGCGGAGTATCATGATGAGGCGAGACAGGTTACAAACCAAATTTAGAGCACGCATCCAATGTCGCCTATTGCAGAGCTTGATAAAGCGCAAGAATTTGTGTACTCGATGCTCGATGCTGTACCACCCTCCTAGCAGACCGACGCATCCATTAGAGGGTTATGGGCAAGCCTCACTCCCGATTTCCCGACCTGTAGGTTTTCTGGCGTACAAGAAGCAACTACCAAGTCGGTTCGGGCCAAAGATAACGAAGAAGTGATTACGAAGAAAGTCATGGATCGTATTACTGCGCAAATTAACGAGTTAGATGTGGATACGATGTTGCTGCCGCTGAATTTTGGCAACGCTCACTGATGTTGCGTTGTGGTGAAAGTTGGGGCTAAGAGGAACTTCTACTACGACCCTTTGAACCAGAAGTCCTACATGCGTGCAGCAAAAGGAGTGGCGACGTATCTAAAGTACAATGGACTTAATGACTTTGCTGTGGTGCCGCATAACAATCTCATTCAGTTTGTCCAGTTTAGCTGTGGGGTTTTCGTCTGCTGGATGTTCCTGCGCCAGGTTGTTCCTGGGCTAACTCATGACATGCGCGACACCGCTCTCATCAAGCGTCGTTTCGAACTATTCTACTATATCTTCTCTGGACGTCTAGTTGTGCCAACTAGACACGCGTCCACATCTACTCAACCCCGACCACTAATCCAGACGACAAAGAAAAAGCTCCTGCTCACGTGAATATAGACCCCGAAAACGAAGACAGCCCTCCCACCCAAGTTACAGCAAGTGTATGAGCAGACAGACTTACAAGAAGCACAGTTAAGCTTGGAGCAATGATAACCTTGATAAATACATCACTTTTACTTACTCTTCAGCTTATCTTGTGGTCTTGCGCTCTACATGAACCTTGAACAGATATCGTTGTGAAAGTGCCAGCAGTACCATTACTTGCAGCGTACATGCAACGGACGCCGTGGAGCTTGCAGATTTGCCGATGAGTCAGTCCTGGAATAATCTTGTGAGCAAACCACAGCCGCACGTTGCTTCAAAACGTATCTTGCAAAGATAATATCACAATAGACAGGTTTAATAATTCTTATTCGATAATCGGAACATTTGCCGGCCAGGATTATAATCATAATAATATACAGGATTGAAACCCAGGATTCTGTAATTTTAAATTACTTTCCAACCCTTCTAATTCCGACTTTTCTTATTTCCGATTGAGGGAGAAATGTGTTCTCATTTTGGTTTCGAGGTCGAGGATGAAACGTGCGGAGGCGATAGTGCCGGAAGCGACCGCGCCAACAGCATGAAAATATGCTGAACGGGAGTGAACGGAGGCGCAAGAAGCAGCATTTGAGCATGTTAAAGTGTTCTCGTTTTGGTTTCGAGGTCGAGGATGAAACGTGCGGAGGCGACAGCGCCGGAAACGACCGCGCCGGCAGCAGCAGCAGCGGTAGGACGAGCACAGGAGGATTAACGCGTGTATCGGGTGGTACGCGAGTGTCTTCGCTCCCGCGTCGTGACCCGGGACTGTCACCAATGGAGACGGAGATAATTGGAGGGGAAGAATCTGAGATTTCGAGCGATTGTGGGGGCTAAACCTGCAGTGAAGACGTGGAGGGAGCTGAAGAAGCCGTGGCCGCCGGTAGTGATGCCTCTGCGGACGACACAGAAGCGTATGATAGGGCGAGCGACGACGAAACGGTGCACGTGGAGGTGCCGCTGGTTTGGCATTCGGATTGGGCGGCGTGGCGGGCGTACTTCACGTAGTACTGCGATAGGACAATGCAAGTCTTACCTGTAAAGAAGACAATGTCACGAAACTGCACAAGGTGAGGAGTTGGAGGACAAGATGGCTGTACCAAGCACTACTGAAGATCAAACAGGTGACGACAATGTTCCACCAACTCAAGTGGCACACACAATAGCTTAACTTTGATATATACACGTCATCCAGTGCTGGATTTCATTCTCGTGTTTGACAATCAGTATCTTGATCTCGAAAGGACTTTTGATTTGTCCAGTCTGCAGCTAAAGCCAGGATTTTACCCTGAAAACTTCATTACAATCATGTACCGGTATAAATCATGGATCGGGATTTTTATCATATCTTTCAGTATCTTCTCGTATCTTTCCGTATTTTTTTCAATAAGGGTACTGAGCTAACATAGTATTTTTTTGAGTCCAGGATTAATCCTGTATCAATTCCCCTGGATATTAGCATGATTATAATCCTGGACCGCAACACCTGCCTTAGGATTACATGTATAACGTAATATAATTCTGGACTCCATTTCCCGCCAAAAAAAACGTTCCGGCTGGAATTCTTTTTATTACAACTCACCATTCAAGAAGTCTTCAAAAAGACACTTTGACGACAACATCATAACCAATGTACTGCTTATTGTCGCAGTCCACCTCCCATGCCACCGAAACCGCCGCTCCAGCCTTTTCCGCTTCCGTAGTGTTTGCCTTTCGAGCCGGAAGTCCACGCTATGGTGGACGAGTTGTCATAAGACCACAAGTCTACACTGCTAGTGGTCGCAGTGGATCCGGTCGAAGTCCACAAATTACCGCCAGTAGTTGACGTTTTGGTTGTAGCCGAAGGCGTTGTGGCCGTAGCCGACGATGTCGCAGAGGTCACATCGGGCGTACTGGGGGACACAGTCGTGGACGTCCCCGCTTCGTTAGCGGTGGTGGATGATGTCGATGCTGTAGTCGAGGCGAACGAGTTGTCCCCGCTCACCGGTCCCGTGAGGGAAACGCAGTCCTTGTAGACTTGCCACACCATGTCACTGTCCACACCCTGGAAGGCCAACCAGTAGAACCTCAACATGCAACCACTCGTCGAGCACAACGAGTAGTCCACGGGTGTGAACACTGACTTGGTGTCCTGGGCGCCGTCCCCGTATGCAGTCGTCATGGGACAGCACCATGGTGTCATCCAGCCAGATCTCAAAGGGAACAATGCCCACGGGAGAAGGTCGCGTCACCCGTGGTAGGTGGGTCCTTTGCAGTCGCGTCCGGGTCGGTATAACCACAGTCAGCACCGTACAGATCCGTGTCGCTGTCGAGCAGCGTTCGGATGTCGCTGTAGCCGTTCGACGATTTTAACGTCGTGTAGAGCGAAGTGAGGCAATCGCTATCGTCGCTGCTGCAGCTGTCTCAGTCGCCCGACCACTGCGGCTCGATCTGCATGATCCAGGCCGAGGTGACCGAGTTCGTGAACTCGGCCAAAGGGATGTACATGTAGCCGTGTGCGTTCGCATTATGGACGACGACAGCTAAGGCGAAGACTGCGGAGAAGATCGTGTTGCTAGACACCATGGAAGACGACAAGCTAAGACGCTCGAACTCAAGACGTCGAGGAAAATTCACAAATGAGGATATAGTCAAGCCTTCCCAGTAACTCCCAGACGGCATCACTTTGATACCTAGTTTACAGCATTACAGCACGCCCCGATTATCTTTACCAAGATGGACATGGAGTGCGATGCCGATCACTGAGAAATCCTCAAAACTAAGTGAGTTTTGACTCTTTGAATCTCGTTCGATGGAGACCGCCGAACAGTGCAGACGTAGATACCAAGGATCTATGAGATGGTCACTTTTATTGAAGCCGTGATCGCATTCCCACATCTGCTTGCCTCAGGGTTTTACATGTAGTTAACTACTACTACTACTACTTCGAAGTAGTAGTACCCTGCATGAGTCATGAAGCGTGACCCACTGAAACGCCTTTACCGAAACGGCAATTGTATCCGTTGACCGGTGTTGGATCATTTTCATCACTGTCGCTATGGTAGAAAAAAAAACTCGCGCAACCATTTATTAGTCTTTGACAATAGCCTACTCCATCCGTTTCACTCTCTTGTTGCTCCGTGGGCTACCGCAGGTCCAGGACTCGTCTCTTCGATTCGACATCTTCAGCGGTTCTAAGTTCTCTCCATCCTCCTCTTCTTCCGGCTCAGCCTCACTGGGTCGCTTCTCGCCAGCTTTAGTCGGCATTTCTTCGGCTACTTTGGTCGGGTTCTTGTCAACGAGCCATTCGTGGTCGCAGACCTGGTCCGCTGTGGGTCTTTGGAGCGGATCAACACGAAGCATCCAGTCCAACAGCGCTCGCAGCTCACAAGGCAGTCGACTCTCCTGCCCCCAGACCCGGAAGAGGTCACGAACGGATCCACCAGGCGTCGATAATAGACGAAACCGAGCGTCTGCGCCGCTGGCTTTCTCGAACGGAGGGATTTTCGTCACCAGAATAAATAATATCACTCCAAGAGACCATATATCCGCTTGTAGTCCATTGTAGCAGCCTTCGGTCGTTGGGATCGCACTGGCATCCGGTCGACAAGGCGGACGCGAGAAAACTTCTGGAGCCATGTACAAAACTTTACCCACGCGGGTACCAAAGCAGCACGACCCAGTAGCACTTGCTAGTCCAAAATCTGCCAGTCGACAGCGCCGGGAGCTGTCCAAAAGCACATTTTCCAAAGACAAATCTCGATGCGCCACGTTCCGTGCGTGCAGGAATCGAACGGCACTCGCGATCTGACCGAACCATGACCGCGCCACATCCAGCGACACATCATTGGGGCTGCCGACATGAGCGAATAAATCTCCATACGGACAGTAGTCAAACAGCAGACACCGTGTGTTTGTGGTGCAGTCCACAAAGTCGTGATGAAGAGTCAGCAAGTGCCGACTGCCTAATTGCGACGCTGCCATCACGGTTTTGTCATCCACGCCGTTGTTCCATACAGGACTCACACTCCAGCTGGACACGTCGCTCTCGTTGCGTTCCTCTGTAGACTCCTCGTTACTCGAGTACACAAAGTTGCTTCCGAGCGTGCGTAAGATCTGCAGCTCCGTTTCTCCGTCTTCTTGGACGTACGGACCGGTCACAGCACGATGCGCACGCATGTGCGGCAGGCTCATGACTTTGAGCGCGTAGTACCGACCGGAGCTACGATGGCGAACCAGCAGCACGCGGCCGTAGATAGCACTGGCTAGAGGTCGAACGAGACTGAGTGAGTCCATGTCAGCGATCCGACGCAGCGTAGACTGAGAAGTGAGGGGTATTCCGAGTCACTCGGGTGCGTCGGCTGGAGATCCCGGAAATAAACATCAAAGACAGCCTCTATGTTGACTCGCTTGCACCTTAGGAGAAGCTTGTAGAAATAGGTACCGGTACGCGTACTGCTATGATAGCCGAGCTCCAAAGCTCCGTGATGACCTCCCTCTCCGTCTTATTACTAGTAATATCACGCTGGACAATGCTGACACATGTACAACCACGAACTGGTCCCATCACGAGAGCGCCACTTACGCCAATCAGACTCTGTATTTTCACCATCGATTATGCGGCCACGAGACCTCTTGACTCTGACAGCCACTGGAACTATAATATGACCCGTTCCAACGGTGACCGTATCGGCTACGAAGTGGTACAGCCCGTGAGGTTCCCACAGTGTCCGCTTTTGTCCGGAGCGGTGCGCAACGACGTGATGCATGCTGCGATCTTCAAGCAACAGGAGCCGGGCATCGTGGACGTCTACATCCCTACGTACGTGGAAAGCCAGAGTACGCTTCTTGATAAAGTAGTCACAAGTGTCACGTGGAAAGCGACACTGGCATTCTGGGACGCCCTGCAGCTCGCCGAAATGAAGAAGTTGCTGTGGAGCATCGCCAACTGCCGCATGGAGCGTCAGAAACGCCAACAGTCGACATCGTCTGCCTGCAAACGCTGCTCAGAACCGCCAAGTATGTTAAAGCGATTGGGCGGTATTGGCCACAACGACAAAGATTCTTGCGTTTTGTGTGAGGTTTCAATGTGCTCCGAGTGCAGAGTGGAGCGGACCCTCAAGGTCCCAGACGAAAACAGCGGAAGGCTGAAAGACCAAAGTGTCGGTGTGTGTCTGCCCTGCGTGATGTTCGTACGACAGCTTTGCCCCACAGACATCGCCCTGTTTAACCGCAAGCAGCGCAGGCCAACAACGATTATCTGAGCTTCAACGTTTGAGTTTACGAGCTCCCCACGTCGCTTTCCATTGCCTTATTGAGCATACCCATATTTTGGTGCGTTACCGGTGTGCTCGTGGTTTCTATGAAAGGTGAATAAATAAATAATACCGTACGTTCACATTGCTTCACTCGCCGTATGGCCCGATACGATGACAATTCGGGCTACTCGAATGGAACAAGGCCACCGGAGTTGCCGCCAGTGTCGAATTAAGCTCATGTGAAAGCAGACCGCATCGAGATGGACACACCGACAGATGACGTTACCTAGGTAGCCTGAAGGACGGATACATCGTTATTTTTTAGCATTCGGAGCGACGTTGATGGCGCCGAGCGCCAAGAGGAGATGACTGGGGTGCGTGCCCCAGTGGACCGACAGAAGTAAAGCCGAGCTGTACGTGTAGCTTTCTAAGTTGCTAACTATATCGCATAGCGCACGCCAAAGTGACCCCCCCCCCCCAGCGTATCGACATCGATATCGAAGCGAATACTGTGTAGATCTTAGCGAATCAAAAACCAATTGATTCGTCTAGTGATGCCGGATTAGCACACACTTGTTTCACTGTAGTCGGGATCTTGTGGAAGACAGGAGACCTAAATCAAATTTCGGTGACCGATCCAACAATATCACTTCGATTCGTGCTATGCACGTATTGATTGGACCCGTATTTTTACGAACAAGGAAATGCAGCCAACACTGACCACAACACGTATTAATAATATCCTACCAGTATCCGCGTTTGGTGTCAGGTATTTCCTCCTACTCGCTATTGCCTCTATTAAATAACTTTTAAATCTCATTTCGAAAGGTGTAGTTGACTACATGTACAGTACTACCGGTACATGTTCACCCTATTTGATAAACTTCATGACCCAAAAATCTTAACGAACAATAATGGATTGAATGTTAAAATTGTCTTTGGTTTAATATTTTTCGGTAAGCTACCCGTACTTTACATTGTATCAATAGAACGGGCTCGCCATCATCATGCGCGTCCTGTCTCCGTCTCCGTCGGCACTTGACTGATTCATTTTCTGCAGGCAGTGGGCTTTTAGTCCTTGGTCTCACAAAACACTCCAGCCGATTTGGACACGCAAGAACTTCCACCTGTTGATGGTTTCTCGGCACGATCGCGCGTTCCAACTGCTCGATCGCACGCTGCGGAGCTATGACGAGCGAGACGGCCAGACACAGGAAGGCCGGGCATCCGCTCGTCGTCACCATTCCAAACTGGACAACACACGCTGGAAGCTGCTCAAGACCCAGGCAGATGCATCTCTCTACACAGAACGCAGCTCCTGCACACTGCAAGACTATAACCTCCTCGGTGGCGACTGGAAAAATCCTGTGGTGTTTCAAATGGTAGGGACGATTCAAGGCGACCTCGATGAAGTGATGCTCGGTATCGAAACCCCCGACACGACCAGCTTCAGGGTACGAACTGAGCTGTTCACAAAGCAGCCCGTAGACTGCGTCGTCCTGGATAAGTTAATGGGCCCAACCGAAGGTGACTTGTTCCGATTTCTTGGCATCATGTGGACGATGTACGAGTACAGTTGGCCGATCAGGACAATGGTCAAGCCACGCGACTTTGTCACGCTAACCGCGACCGGCACGATGACTCGAGCAAGTGGTGACCGTATTGGATATGAAGTGGTGGTACCAGCAAGACTACAGCAGTGTCCTCCACTGCCTGGTGGGGTCCTCCGCGGCAAAGTCATGTACGCTGTGATATTCAAGCAACAGGAGCCAGGCATCTTGGACGTCTACCTGCACACGTACGTCGAGACACAGGGCCTCCTTATTGATAAGTTGATTGTGTCTGTCACGTGGAGGGCAAACTTGGGGTACTGGAATGCCGACAAACTCACCGAAATGAAGAAGCTACAGTGGTGTATCGCCAATTGCCGCTCCGAGCGTCAGAAGGAGCAGCAGCGAGCATCGTCGTCAGCTTTGAGCCTGTGCAAGCAATGTTTCGATACATGTAGACGGAAGAGACATGCCGATAAAAATCTTAATGGAAAGGACTCGTGCGTTCTGTGTGCGTCGCCGACGTGCTACACGTGCCGCGTGGAGAAAACACTTAAAGAGATTGACGAGATCACCGGGAGGCTGACGGACCTACCGGTCGTGGTGTGTCAGCCCTGTTTGCTGTTTGCGCAGAAACTCTCCCCCGCAGACATCGCGAGGCTAAACTACAAGCAACGGCGACGACGGCAACGCGCATCGAACTTCGAATGATCCTACCGCCGTTGGTTAGCGCCACGTTATCGGAGACCGTGTTTGAAGTCCTTTCGATAGTAGTCCCCACCATGTTGAAGTTAGCTGGACGCCGTGGACGGAGACCTGGTCGACCGGGAGTATGGCAGCTCTACATTTTCTCGATACCGGCCAAGCGATCTCCAAGCTGTCTGCCATGAAGCGATCGCTGTTGGCTGGTCTCGCCCTCGGTTTCTTGCTCAATGCCGACGGAACTACAGGGACGGAAAGTGCCGGTGACACGGAGATCGCCACAGCCATCGGATCGACTTGCGGTACACAGCTAAAGAACATCTTCTATCATGGCTTCAATCTACAGACGTCGACGGTAAGCAACGCGGCAGCGTGTTGCGATCTCTGCGCTTCATACAACGGGTGCGTACTGTACACGTACTTCCAATCGTCCAGCACAGGCCAGAGCCTCTGCTATCTGAAGAGCGGAGCGGGGGAAAATACCAACTACGCCGACAGTTCCAGCGCGACGGCCGTGTCGGTCTTCATGGTATCAGCTACCGGCACACCAACCCCGACGACAACGAACGCGCCGTCACCTACGACTGCGACTCCGTCTGCATGCTATGAGCAGCTTGACGGCGTGTTTTACAATGACAACACGATCTTCGAGCTCTCCACTGACTCAGCTGATGAGTGCTGCCGATACTGCTCGCAACTAGCGAGCGAAGGCTGCGTGCTTTACACGCTTTACGTATCGAAGAGCGAAAATGTGAAGCGTTGTCTGTTGAAGAGCGCGGCGGGCACAGCCACGAACTACACAAATTCGGACGACCTCACGATAGTATCGGTCTTCCTGCCTGCATCAGCGACGCCCTCGCCCACACCTACGGGCGAGTGCACGGCTGAGGGTCAGTACTGCGGCAATGCACAAGGAACGACGTGCTGCGAGTCACACAGCTATTGTCAGCCTTGGAACAGCCATTACTATCAGTGCATCGGGCTTCCCGACGGCTGTGGCAACCTAGAGACGGACATTGACTAGTACGGCAATGACCTGAGCAGCGCCTTGACGCTGTACCCATGGCTGTGCTGCTCACTTTGCCAAGAAACTCAAGGTTGCAACGCTTACACATTTGTCAACCTGGATCCGGCAGGACCTACGTGCTACATGAAGACAAGCAGCGCCGGACGCGCCGCTAATGTCGGTGCGTTGTCCGGCGTGCCGTTAAACAAGATGACGTGACGGGCGCTCTACAGCAACAGACTCGACTTGAAGACACGTCTTATAATCAACAGCGTACATGCAATAACTCAATGTCAAAAGCGGCTACATGTACTTTATCCTTTGATGTTTTTCGCCGTGAACGTGCTCGTTGCCGAACCAGATCTGCCAGATCATGCGCGCGCGCTTAATTGATTCACGGCTTCAAGCATCCACGAGTCAGTTTTCCATGTTTACGTTTTAGGATGGTTGACACAGAGCACCCCATCGTGCCATATTCTCTCAATCGAGCGCCCGGACCAATCAAGTGAGCACTTGTGTCAGGTTCGTACGTCCGTTTGGCCTGTCTAAATCTATACACATGGGTCCAAGCATCGCTGGCGTTGATACACTTCCAGCTGCCGAGCTGGCGCTCTATTGCATGACCTGCTTCTGTTGGTCTCCACAATAGAATCCGACAGCTCAACAGAAGAATCGTCAATGGGCTCGAAAGGAATCTCGTTCCAGGAGCTCAAGCTCACGGTGGACGAGGAGCAGAACTGCCGTGATCGGTCATTCCAGCTGCTGGACAGAACACTTCGCAGCTATGACGAGCGGGACGGTCAGGAAGACAGTGGCCGACCGTCTGCCCCGTTGCATCACTCCAACCTTGACAGCACGCGTTGGAAACAGCTCAAGACTCAAGAGAACGCGTCGCTCTACATCGAACGCAGCAACAGTGTGCACCGAGACGACAATATCCTCGGCGGTGACTGGATCAACCCGATGGTGTTCTTAATGGCAGGGACCATACGTGGAGAGCTGGACGAAGTGATGCTCGGCGTGGAGACTCCTATCGTAGCCAGTCTACGAGACCGAAAGGAAGTACTCGCCATGCAGCCAGTAGATTGCGCCGTCTTAGCCGAACTAGCGGCCCCCACAGAATCAGATCCATTTCAATACCTTGGCATCCAGTGGATGGCGTTCCGACACGGTTGGCCACTCAAAGCGGTGTCGTCACCTCGGGACTTTGTAGCATTAGCATCCAAAGGTACCATGACACGTGCGAACGGCGACCGTATCGGCTACCAAGTCGTACAGCCAGCTAAACTCCCTCAATGTCCTCCACTACCGGGATCGATGCGTACCAAGCTCATGTATGCGGCCATCTTTAAGCAACAGGAGCCTGGACTGGTCGATGTCTTTGTACAAACCTATATCGAGACCATGAGCGCCCTACTGAACAAAGTGGTCGTGTCAGCGACGTGGAAATCTACAATGGATTTGTGGAGTGCGCCCCGACTGGCCGAGATGAAGAAAATGCAGTGGTGTCTCGCCAACTGCAAGGCGCAACGTCGACAACTCCAACGGCAGGCGTCTCCGTCCGCGAAAAACGTGTGCAAGCAATGTTTGGAGAAACGCAAGATGCGTGGTAGCGACATTGAGGACAAGACCGCTTGCGTCCTATGCATTTCGCCGACGTGTTCGAATTGCCGCGTCGAGAGATCACTAGAGGCAATTGATGAACGAAAGCTCAGGCTGATACAACACTCAGTCATCGTCTGTCGGGCTTGCATGGTGTTCGTACAGCACATGCGACCGGTGGATATTGTAAGGCAGACGCTGAAGCCATGATACGTGTATTGGTGTACTTAAAACTTTAAGAGCATTGTAATGCTTTTACGGATATTATCCAATTATTGAAAATTACGTTCCCATTTTCGTTTAACTTTTTTTAGATAAACATTTTCTCAGGACCAGCTTTTTGTTCTGGGATAGAGTTTTCTGTTATTATCACGATAAAACGTCACCAACATGTCATGTTGGACTCACAGCTTACAACACGGGGATAGATGACTGGATTTCCGCATTACGTCGCATGGTTTCCGATGCTCTTTGCACTTGGCCGACACCAAGGTCCGACAATGCGTTGATCATTGAGCAGATCCGACACTGAAATTGACGGATACCGTCCAGGCGAAATCATTGGTAAAGCCCATCCACTTCCGACGGCGGAATGATTCTTCTTCTCAGTTTTGGTTTCGTTGATTCGGTGCGCCTCCCGTTGCTTCTGGTTGTCTAAGGCGATGTCAGCAGGTTCTTGATGTTGTACGAACAACATGCACACGCGACAAACTGCAATGTGTAAATCCAAGTTGCCGCTCTCGTCCGGTTCTTTGATTGTTCGCTTCACTCTGCAGCTTGAGCATATTTGAACCATACAAAGTGCGCATGTGTTGTGATCACTAAGGTGGGTACTGCGACGCCGCGTGGTCGGACTTCTCTTGCTCGGGCAGTTCTCGCAGTGCTTCGATTTGATACAATTGTCTTCACCCGATTTAATGTCGGAAGTCGCCTCTTGTTGCCATGGCAGCACGTTTTTTTGCTTTAAGCACCACTGTAATTTCTTGGCCTCCGACAAACTCGGTGCGTTCCAGAACCTTAGCACAGATTCCCATACTTGAGATATAACAAGCTTATCGTATAAATGGCTGCGCGTTTCAATGTGCATCTGGACGAACACGTCGACGTCTCCATCGTCTCGCTGAGTGTAGATGACGCCGTACATGACCTTGCCCCTCACTGTCGGTTTTGAAAGTCGAGGACACTGCGGTAGATCGATGGACTGCACGACCTCATACCCGATGAGATCACCGTTGGTATGCAGCATGACACCGGTCGCAGACACGACAACAAAGTCGCGACGCTGCGTCACCAGGTTCAGTGGCCAACTCCGTTGTCCCTCCAGCCACGTTATACCCATGAACTGGAATGGATCCGCTTCGGTAGGACCCGCGAGTTGCGCTAAGACAGCACCTTCCACCGGGTGCTTAAAAAGTGTCTCGGACCGAAGTTGAATAGCAGCAAAGTCTGGCGTCTCCAACCCGAACATGATCTCGTCAAGAGTGTCGTGAATGGTTCCCACGGCGAGTAAGGTGCAGTTGCCAAATGGCGAGTGGAAGTCGCGCCACGGACCGTCCGTTCTTTCAGCATAAAGAGAGGCGTTCCCTTGGGTTTTAAGTTGCTTCCAGCGACTCCTGTCATGATCAGCGTGATGTCGCGGTGCGTTCAAGAGGCCATCAACACCCTCGTTTCGTTCGGCGTAGCTGCGAAGGGTACGATCCAATAGTTGGCAGGTGAGATCTTGGCATGCTTGCTGTTGCTTTCCGGTCAGATGGAGCTGCTCGAACGGAACACTGTTGTTGCGACCGCCAAAAGTCATTATAGTGGTGTTAGGAGTTGCACTCAAGTGGGTAAAATGAGGAGTGTGGAGACCCTGGCGCAGCTTAACCACGAGCTCAGCCCTTCCACCGTGTTCGGATTTCTCGAGCGTGCGCACCGAAGTTGACTCGTCTGAGTTTATTATCGCAATTCTGTATCGCGTTGGCACGTGACCGGGCCACCGAAAAGTACTCCGAGCTACTGGCATAACAGCAGTACATGTATACTGTACAGTACATGTACAGTAATACATACAATTGCAGCCTGCACCTGCACGTTGCAGTGCCCCTGCACAACATACATGACCTGTCTGTTCTGCATTCGTAGCCACGCGAGGAAAGTGCCGGCGATATCGAGCTACTGTACTCAATTTGGAGAATACATGTAAGAGCAGCAGGTCGCAGGAGACAAATCTCGTTCGATGCGCGCAGGTGTCGACAGTCGTGCGCGAGCAAAGTCACTCCACAACAAGTCGCCGAGGCCGTACGCGAAGTTTTAAATGCATAAGCAAACGCAACTTCAACGCTTGCGTGGCCGAAGAATTACTACTTCTCGGAAATTGTTTCTATCTTTATTGTTTCCAAAACAGTTTTTCTAAGTGATATTTATTAATAACCATTCACTTTAGTAATGTCACGTGATACTTTATTTTTTTTAAAGAGAATCACGTTCCTTTAGGGATGGATAAAAAGGCATTAATATTGCTAAGCTTTTAGTAAAACCCCACGTCCTTGGAGCAATATTTTATACATGTAGCTTCAAGTTCCGTGCAAAAAAGATTGTGCCCACTTCTGTTCAATACTACTAATAGTACTAATAGTAACTTAATGACTTTATTGAGCTCCCAAAGCGGCACTACCGGTAGTAAGCCATATTGACTTGCGTATCTTCACCACCCGCTATATTAGTCGCCCACGACTAAGATCATCTTAGTAAGATGTACCCGATCATTTCATTGAGGAAGCGGGAGCTCTGTCTTTGCCGAAGCTTCTCCACTGAGTTTTGTGGCTATTAATAAAATTGCTGATTTAATCAGCCTGATTATGATCGGTGTCATTCGCTAGGACATTGTTGCCTTTCCAGTCGGGAAAGACGCAAGGTCCCTTGACGACACGGATTTGTAGCAGTTCTTTTGTGAAGTAAACCGCTAGAATAGCAATACAGGGGTCTCGCTCTCGTTCCTACAGGTTTTATACCATATTAATTATTAAACCTTTTCGTTGTTATAGAGTCGATGACTCATGACAGGGTGATAGTAGCGAAAAAGGGCTAACTCTTCTAAAGAGTAGAGCTTCCAAGTGTTAATAATACTAATTATTTTATTTGGTAGCGGCAATTTGAAAGAATCAAAAACTAATATCTCTGACATTTAATTGTATGTGATTATACAAGACCTCACTATAAGTACTGAGGCAGTTGGAACGAAGTGACGTTCACTCTTCTAATTTTGAAAATAAAATTTCCCGCCCACAACCAAGAACCCACTCTTCGGCGCATCATGTACTGCATGTGCTCAGCGAAGAACCCGTCCTACGTTTGCGCTGACACAATGCGCCGTGTCTCGCTCCCCCAGCGTATGCGCCTCACGTAGCTGCAGCAGCTCATGTCTGCCGCCAACACGCCAAGTGTGCTGCGTGGAGCCACCGTAAGCTCGCTGTCTGGGCCCAGTCCGCGTCCGGGCTACCTGTAACGGTGTACGTAGCCCTAAGTGTACCCTGGTTACATGAAGTGTGACACTTCACACTTCAGGTGTATGACACGTCATACTCCGGGATATTTGGTCCAAGGTACCAAGGTCGTTCAAAGCCAACCATTGGTCAAACGACATTGCATTTCTATAGGTAACCTATAGTTTGTATTAAACCCAAACTTAACCTACCTATAAATATACTCAGTTTACAATCTACCTTATTTAGGTCACTTCGCTCTCTTTAACTAAAGAAGGGACCTGTGACTGCCGTTCACTGAGAGTTTGTATACTCTCGGAAGATAACTTCCTCTCGCGCAAGGTACTGTGTGACACCGTCACACTTGGTAGCACTAGTAGTCAATCCACGCCACCGCGGGTAGACTACCTGAACCTCTCCGAAGCTCGTTGCCATGGATAGGAACGACTTCTCCCATATGAACGACTCTCAGTTCGAGTCGGTTCGGAAGATGGCAGACATCTTCGGGATGAAGGTACAGAGCCTGGTGGTGTCAACACCGGCTGAGCAGCTCGAGCGCGTCAATGCATTCGACGCGTACGAGCAGGGCTTCATCGCGCATGTGCGGGAGAACCTGCAGGCTCCGGCGGCGGAAGCAAATCCGCCTCACCCGAAGCCAATACCGCTGACGGTTAAGCCGTATGAGGGAACGGAAGGCGACAACCTTCACTTCTGGGACCGAGAAGTAGAGCTCGCGATGGACGCGGCTCTGATCTCGACCGAGCAACTGCGTGTTGCTTTTGCACTCGCCAACCTTAGCGGCCGTGCTAAGAGTTGGGTGTACACACGGGAAGCAACATCCGCTGGATGCTTCATATCCTGGGCTCAGCTGTGCGAACAGCTCCGAGCCGCGTTCCTCCCGGCGAACTACGAGTACCGCCAGCGTTCGCGCTTCCTCTCGTGTAAACAAGGAAGGCGCGAACTGCACGAGTATGTGCAAGAGATACGGGAGCTCACGGCGTCCCTAGTGGGACACCCACTCAGCGAACACATCAAGATGAATGTGTTCATGGACGGCCTTCGAGTGGGCCCCGCACGCACTCAGCTGTTCCGGGTGCAGTCAAGCACTCTTGAAGAGGCGATTCAAGTGGCTCTTCAAGAAGGGTACAGCCATCGCCAGGCGCGTACGCCGGCCTCAGCATGGCCTGGGAGTTCTTTGTCGGCTCCCGGCCGAACAAGCCCCAACGGACCAGTTCCCATGGAACTCGGGTCCGCCGAACAGCGTGACATCCGCTGCTTCGGCTGCGGGATGATGGACCACTTCAAGCGCGACTGTCCTGCGGAAAGACTCCGCAGACAGTCCTTCCCCAAGCCCGTCCTCAAGGGTCGCTAGCAGAAGCCAGGATCCCGGGGACAGGGGAACGCTGGGATCCAGTAGGGGCGGGGCGCCCTACTGGGGAAGAACTAAGTCTTCGTGATGGGTGCGCGGGTGGCGCCTACCACGGGGACTTAGCCCCTGAGAGTCTTCACAGTCTCGAATCGGCGAAGAGCAGCGGCGGGTTGCTCGTAGTACACGGATGTGTACGGGGATACGATCATCCCTTTAGAATCTTGATCGATTCTGGGGCGTCGAAGAATTTCGCACGCCGCCAGACGGTTGCTCGCAACAGTAACAAGTTGTCCGATGCGTTGAGAGAGCGCAAGGGCAACGGGACGGTGTCAGTGCGACTGACCGACAAGAAGGTCGCCAACGTCCAAGTGGATCTGGCCGTCAAGTTTGAAGACTTTGACAACCTCGAACAGCTCACTGTTCTCGATATGGATCCATACGATATGATCCTGGGCATGCCCTGGCTTGAGAAGCACGAGCCCTGGATCGACTGGCGAGGCAAGGCAATCGGTGGTAGCCGCCCTGCGCAGTCCGACAGAGCATTGGTGAGTCAAGTTCCCACCTCTGTCAGGACCCGGGGCGCCCTCAAGGGCTGCCAGGGTACCAAAGCATCCGGCAGATGCTTAGGAGTCGTCGACGTATATGACGACTCCGAGGATGTTTTGATGGTGGCAGCGCCCAGAAGAGGCGCTGGCCAAGTGGGTAACTTAGGTCCACAGGCGGGAACATTAGTTCCGCACGACAGCTGCAGCTGTCACGAACACTGAGAACAGCGTGTTCAGAGGGGGTAACAGAGCTCCACTCACGGTCGCCCAGACCCTAACTGAAGAGGACGATGTCGGATACGCTTCCTGTGTGGGTAACACAGTGCCACACGCGGTCGCCCAGACCTTAACTGAAGAGGAAGGCGTCGAACACGCTTCCTGTGTGGGTACCACAGTACCACACGAGGCCACGAGTGCCTCGGATGTCGTAGCGCCGACATCCCTAGACGTGGGCAGCAAAGCCCGACGTCACGGTCGCCGTCGTCAACGACGCCGCCGCCGCCTCAAGTCGGATCCGAACTTCGTTACGATCGACGTTGCTTCAAGCGACTCGGAGTCCAGGGCCCGGGCTCCTCCGACAAGGCCGGTGGAAGAGTGTTATCACATCTTCGATGGCGAGACCGGTTTACCCGTCAAGGCATCTGGTGTCCACTTGGAACCGTTGCCAGAGGTTGCCGAGATACTGCACCTCGAGGAAATGACGACTGAGGCTTTCCTGACCAACCTCAAGGCTGGAGAGATTGCTGAGATGGTACTCATGAGAACTGAGACCACTCGGGAGGAGCTGAACTCCTCCTCTGTTTTGGACGAGAACGTCCTGGAAGACCTGAACAAGCAGCGTCAGACGCGCTTGGGTTCTGAGATTCTTAAGAACCCCAAGGATCCGGTGTATCCTTTGGTGAAGGAGTATGCGGACGTGGGGAACAAACACCCACCGACCCAACTCCCACCGGATCTAGGCGTACGGCACGATATTGATCTCGTGCCCGGCACAAAGTATTGTGTCACGAGGCAATGGCCTCTCCCGCGCGAACAGAGCGAGGTCATTGATGCCTTCTTCGCCGCGAAAGCGAAGGCAGGCATGGTGCGGGAGTCGAACTCCCCGCACTCGACGCCGACTTTCTGCGTTCGTAAGCCGAACGGAAAGTGGCGTCTGGCTCACGCTTATAACAAGCTGAACAACGCAACGGTGGCGGCCCAAACACCAATCCCGCAAAAGGATGTGTTGTTGAACAACATGGCCGGGAGCGTACTGTACAGTGCGCAGATTTTGGTAGACGGATACTATTAAATCCTGATGCGAGAGAGCGACATCCCGCTCACCGCGGTAAGCACTCCAAGCGGCATGCTTTGGGAGTGGCTCGTCATGCCGCAGGGCTTGTCTAACGCCCCGGCGACGCTCAATCGCCTGGTGACGCAATTGTTCCGCCCTTTGCGTACCTTCGTACAGACGTACTTCGACGACAAATTCGTTTATAGCCGTGCCGAAGGAGGCAAGACGGCCATGGAGGTGCACCTAGGACACCTCCGTCGAGTGTTGGACGTAATGCGAGCGAACAAGCTCTACGCCAACATCGACAAGTGCGTTTTCACGTCACCAGAGATTAAAGGTCTCGGTTGCTTCGTAAGCAACGTGGGCGTTCGGGCTGACCCAGACAAGGTCAAGGCCATAGCAGCATGGCCGACGCCCCGATCCCAGAAGGATCTTCGAAAGTGGTTGGGCTTGGCCAACTACCTTCACAAGTAAAGCGCAGGATACGCGGGATTCGCTAAGCCCTTGTCGGGCCTCCTTCAGAAAGACGTCGACTGGCGCTGGGAGTAGGAGCACCAGGGTGCCTTTGACAGCATCAAGGCCAGTCTCCAAGAGGTCCTTGTCCTGGCCCTGCCGGACGAGACGAAGCCGTTTAGCGTCGTCTGCGATGCCTCCGATTACGCCATCGGATGTGCATTACTGCAGGCCGACACGGCTGGACACGAACGAGTCGTCTCGTTCCAGTCCAGGCAGCTCTAAGCCGCCGAGCGGAACTACCCTGTCCACGACAAGGAGCTCCTGGCAATGAAATTTACCCTTGTGAAGTTTCGTGTTCACCTTCTGGGCTCTAGGCTCTTTGTGATCTACACAGACCACGCGTCCTTGAGGACGGCGACTAACTCGCCTCACCTCTCCCAAAGGATGGCGAGGTGGCCGTCCTTCTTCGCGGAACATAACTTCCGCGTCGAATACAAGCCGGGCAAGCTCAACGTGATTGCGGACGCCCTCTCTCGGCGTCCTGACTATGAGTTGGTCCACATCACGCGGGTGACAACGGATCGGTATGATTTGATACGCATGGCGTATCGGGACGATGAGGCTGTCGCGCCTATCGTCAAGTTCCTTATGGCCGGAACGAGCGCGAAGTCCGACTGGCTCTCGTCGCGACAGCGCTCACGGCTCCACCGATATGAGTTTAAAGAGGGTGTCCTCTATTACCGGGTGGAGCCCACTGATCCTCCACGGGTGGTCGTACCCAACGACGAGGATCTGAAGTTCGATATCCTCGCGGAGGCGCATGACGCGCCCTCCAGCGGCCACTTGGGCCGCGAGAAGAACTTTCTGTCGGTCTTCCAGTCCTTCTGGTGGGCCCACATGTACCAGTGCGTCGCCCGGGTACGTTAAGACATGCGAAACATGTCAGCGGGTCAAACCCGCAGGGCCACTCTTCGGCTCCACTACAGAGCCTGCCCGTACCGGCTGACTGTTGGAAGTCGATGAGTCTTGACTTCATCTTTGGGCTTCCCGCCGACGGACACGGCAACACCGGAATTTTGGTGTTCGTGTGTCGGCTGAGCAAGATGGTACATCTTGCTCCAGTTCCCGTCTCTGTTACGGGCGAACAAACCGCAAGGTTGTTCGTCGATGGCGTGTTCCGCTATCACGGTCTCCCGGAGACGATTGTCTCGGACCGAGACCCGCGGTTCACTGCTGCGTTTTGGAAAACGCTGTTCCCTTTACTGGGAACTCGTCTGCAGATGTCCACTGCGGACCATCCGCAGACATACGGCCAAACAGAACGTGTCAATCGAGTGCTCGAGGACACTTTGCGCAGTGTGTGCGCGACAGCACCACGTACGTGGTCGACGCAGCTTCCAGTTGTTGAGTTTGCGCTCAACAACGCGGTGCACCCGTCCACGGGGTTCACGCCGTTCTACTTGAACGGCTTCCGCCACCCCAGAGTGCCTCTCACTCTTCGAGGAGACACTGACTGCTCTATTCTAAGTGGGGGAGAGGCTCGGAAAGCCCTTTCCTCCCAGGTCTCGAATGTGAGACCAGTACGCTGCGGAAACAGGTGGAATCCTTTATGGATACCAAGCTGAGCATTGTCAGCAGGGTCCGCGATGCCATGGCAGCGGCCCAAGATAAACAAAAGGAGTACTCAGACAAACGTGGAAGAGGAAACTTAAGTATATTTGGGGTTGGGGACTTAGTGTTGCTAGACGCGAGGAATCTACCTCTTGACACTGTCAGCTCTGTCGGCAGCAACAAGCTGAAGCACCGCTTCATCGGACCTTTTGCAGTCCTGGCCAGACATGGTGCGTCGTACACCATCGACCTTCCAAAGTCAATGACGACGCACCCGACGTTCTATGTCGGACGTCTTAAGCGGTACTTTGACTCGCAGGGGGTTGCTGACTCGCAGACCCTCCTTGACCTAGCTCCTCGAAGCGAGGGCCGGTCACAGTACTTGTACATGCACACGAGAGATGCGAAGCTGGGGTGGGGGGGACGCCGCAGCGGTGTTGCTCTACTTGTTAATGCTGAGGCGCTGGATCTGGATAGCGTTGGACGAGGACGACGTAGTGTCTAGGCAGGAGTGTCAAGAGGAGTCTCTTGAGGAGAATGCAGAGGCGTTTGTAAAGACGCTGCTCTAGCTCTTCGTGTAACCAGACTTGTTGCGTCGGCTTTCAAAGCAGCTCGGCTACGTCTGTACCAGAATGGTAGAATGCTGTAGTGCGTCAAAGCGAAAATGGTTTGGCCGCTCCGACCATAGTTGTGCAGTTTTGATGTCATTTCTTGCAGCAGCGCACCAGTCTTGGTGGGTCAGAGAAGCGTGTGGTTGACAATTGTTGAACACGGTCGGAAACCCTAACGATAACGTAGCTGTTAGTACCGTTTAAGTATCGTTAGATACCAAACGTTGGGAAGCCTATAACCAACTATAAAGTAACATAATAATTGATGGATTAAGCCAATCACAATCCACAATAACTCTACTTCTGCAAAAAGCGTGTTATCAGAAGACGGCGTACTTCAATATCCACCAGACCCAGAGGTTCTGGGCTAGAACCAGCACCAGCCATGAACCGTTGTGCCGTAAGGTGTCTGGAATGACTTCCCGGGGAGTGTTTGTCCTTAATTTAGGACATAAGTCGTCAAATTTGATAGCATAGTCAAATAAACAAATTAATTTATTTAAAGTCGTCTATTCATAAATATATACATGAACATGTATGAGACAGCGTCAAACAAAATGATACTTACGAACCATTTAGAGCGAGATAAACGAGGCCAATTGATTTTCGCACCTATTAATAACCAGAGCTGTGACACTTGGTGCAAACATCCATCATAAAACTGTAAGCTACCCTTATTCAATTGCTTTTACAACAAGGGCTCTTAAATAACACTTGAATCTCAAAATTAAAAACATATTGAGCTCACAGCACTCCTAAATGTACATGTATCATCATTTCGAGGTCCCATAAATGGCGATAATTTTTTGGGCGACCACAACTTTTTCAGTTTTAAGCATTCTGTAGCTTAGAAGGGGCTTTAATCGCGATTCGTACTTAGGCTCGTATTTGGCTATCAGAATGTTATACTCAGAACTTGAGGCTTGCATTTTAGTCCGTCCCCTTTTTCAGGACAAATTTTGTTGGGGCGTGAAGGTAAGTGATACCGGCCCGGTAGCATTGGTAGCTAGTACTTCCGGAGCTGACGCCATTTCCCGCACTAAAGAAAGTGAACTCTGCTGAGATCGGCTTCTTAGTCCGCTGGTCAGCGAGTTGCCCTTGTCGCTGAACTGCGAACTATGGCCTTAAAGCCTGAGAGGAGCCGATTAACGTATCTACATGAGCAGCAGCTGAGCAATTACATGTACTTGGCCTTGGTTTGCCTTGAAATAGTTGGTATCCGGATAGCACCAGATCGAGTCGACCCATGCCATCTCTGGTTGCAAAAAAATAACAGTTGGGTCGCGCTGGAGTTGGAAGTGTAGGTGGCTTCAGCGAGACGAGCCTAATGCTCGAAACACGTAAACTGATCGCCGTGCACGGTTGTCTGAACCGAAAGACCTTGAATTCCAATGCCACGGTGGCATTTCGAGATAGGTGGGTGGCATTGCCACCCACGCAAAGTGTGCGATTAGCAAAGACCGTGGTGCAGCAACTTGCCACAATGGTCTCGACCAGTCTGCCCATGCTCACGTTTGACTTTTCCTGGATCTTTGGTTCATTTTGCAACTTGCGCGCGTAGTCCGCAATTCCGTCAATACGTTAAGGCAACGACTTTCCACCATGAAGAGCAAGTGGAGCAAGAGCGTATTTCCGCCATTGACACCGTCAATTGAGCAAGAGTCGCAGTTCCTTCACTTGGCACGCGGTTTGGTGCGCGAGACGCTGGCACACTTCAACACATTAAGCCACCAGCCCGAGGACGAGCGGAGCTTAGCCAAGCACAAGCGTTGGAAGACCGTCAAAACCCGCGACAACCTCACCATCTTCAAAGAGCGAGATCCGCAAAAGATCTTCACGGGCACGAGTTTTGACACACCTGAGCACCAGCGCCTGGCCGAGGATGAATGGCAGCTGCCAAAGCTGCTTGTCGGTGTCGGCTCCATCGTCGGCTCGCTCGACGATGTCATGTACGGGGTCGTGACACCCGACGCAGAGTCTATGCTCCTTAAGGCTGCTATTGTGCGGAGCTCTCTGATTGACGGCGCCGTGCTGGCACAGATTGACGGACCTACGCCTGACGAGCCCTACCGGTTTCTAGGAGTCAAGTGGTTCGTCAAAGTCAAAGGACCACCTGCCACACTACGGGGCTTCGTACAGCCTCGAGACGTGGTGTTCGTCGAGTCTACAGGCACTTTTACTCGCTCAAATGGCGAACGTATCGGATACCAACTACTGCATTCAGTAGACTTGGATGGCTACGGAGCTCTACCGGAGCGTTCATTGACGCGTGGTCGAATCTCCAGTTGCACAATCTTTAAAGAGACTCGAGACGGGAAACAGGTAGAGGTGTACGTGCGAGGCTACGTGGAGCAGCACGGCAAACTGCTGGACTCGCTGGCGCTCAAAGCTGCGTCGACGGGATTTCTGAGTTCCTGGAACGCTGTCGAGTGTAGCCATGTCAAGAAACTCATGTGGTTCGTCGAGAACCCGCACCTCGTGACCTGGAGACACGAAGCTGCTGCTCGTGTTCGGGGCCCTGACGCTCGAACACCGGTACGCTCACACAGCTTCGACGGCCCAAGTGGTGTCCACTTGCGTAACCTCAGTCTGGCCAGCCCCAATGATCGTTGCGGAGGCACCTGCGGTCGCAAGATAAAGAGAGTAACTAGTGTCGGGTTGTGCTCTCTTTGCCAAGTACCGATGTGCTCCAAATGCCGCGTTACCAAGAAGCTAGCCTTTGTTACGTGCGAACTCACGCTCGAGCGGCGAGAAAGCATCATCTGCCGCTCATGCGTGGCCAGAGTGCGTCTCCAGCCCGTGCGTCATATCGCACAGCACGAGATCCGCGAAGGCCGCTACCGCTGGCAGCCGAAGCAGTCTGTTGAAGCTCGAGGTACAAAGCCTACAACGCCCTTAAGTGGATCTACAACTTCACGTTCGCAGTTTAATATTGAGCTAAGTGCAAAGAGCATCGCGCCCTCGACTACCACGAACGCTCGAAGCGAGCGCCGGATCAAGTCTCGCTGGTTTAGACGCCACAAAAAGAGCAACGCTGAGTTCAGGCCGGTGCTGTTTGGCGAGTCCTCGACACTCACTGACTGTCAGTTGGGTGCACTTTCCCAACGCTCGACGACAGTAGCTTCCTTGAGCACGAGCTCGCCGATCAACCCGCTGGCGTATAGCTGGGCGTCGTCTGCCAAGGAGAGTGATCTCCGCGCCCGGGTGGAGGAAGACGACGAGGACGATTGGGCCAAAACACCCGAGTTTACGGAAAACCAACAAGAGCGCCGACAGCTCTGGCACCAAATGACAGAGCTGCGGCTCGCCGTGGAGAGCACGTACCAGATTGCCAAGCAAACCACGGACTCATGCTGTGGCCCGAGCTTCTGTCCGCTCGGAAAGGCAAGTGTTGATTGCTGAAGGCGATTCGTATGTGCGACTGGTTAATTAATTTAAAATAATGCTAAATAATAAAAACTTCTATAATAATTCAGATATCGGGGCTCGTTGTTTAAATTCAGCATTAAGACATCCTCAAGACTCACCTGCCATACCCAGAGTGTTCACGTGCTGCAGCTGCATGTGTCAAGACGAGCACCCAAGCCGGGAAGCCAAAACAGCAACTTGATCGATTGTCGAACAAGAGTCGATGACGGTGGTGAGCTGCACCCTGCATCTAGTGTCGCGGTCGTGCGGGTGCAAAGTTCAAAGCTAGATTGTAATCGTCCAAAGTTCAGAAGTAGCCATTCTGCTAAAGAATTGGCGAGTGCATTTCAGAAGGGGTCAGTGCCTCGGGAAAAAGGCCACCCTGTCGCGAGCATTGACGTGAGCAGTGTTGTTTAATTAACATATTTATACTTTATTAACTTAAAAAGGGATGGTAATAATGTAAAAATCATTTTATTAAGTAAAATGAGTTGCTTTGCCCCTTCCATAGTATATCACTATTAGTGATTCAACGGCAATCGGCTAGTGGCGGACCTGCGCGATGTCCAAGACCTGCTGACGATCAAGAAACGCGATCTGGATGAATGGGCGCGACAGGAGAAGGCTGCTCAAGCAGAGCTCCTGACGCTTGTGAGCGGCGGCACGGGGTCAAGTGTTACACCTCGCCCGAGCTTTGCGGCGCTGCAGGAGCTGTTTAAGAGCAAGATCAAGCGAGCCAAGAAGAAACCAGCTGCGGTGGCAAGGAAGAAGAGAAAGAGCCTGACAGTGCGAGAGACGGCGAGGAGCAAGAAGACGACGACGAAGAAGAAGAGGACGAAGCCGAAGACTATGACGAAGATGACGACGACGATGCCGAAGAAGAAGAGGATGCCTGTCCGTCTGGATGCGACTTGACTCTGTACGAGAAGGTGCTGGCCCTGCGTGAGAAGCGTGCCGATGTAGACGACGCCATGGGGGAGCTGAACAAGGCGATCGAAGAGCTTCGGAAGGCCGGAGAGCGTCAGACAGCCAAGCAACGTGCGATTGACAAGGAGCTGGCTATGACGGAGCAGGATACGCAGCAGTTCCAGAGTGAAAAGCAGTTGCGCTAGACGTCGTGGTGCCGCTCAGTACGCGGCAACTATGTTGTCTTGAAGCCCCGTCTCCGACTCAGCAGAACTGTACGCTACCTGCTCAAGCTGCTGGCTGCCTTGTGTTCACCACTCGCGCCTTCTCTGCGTTGTCTGAGCGTATGAGTCGCTGCAAGCAGAGAATAAGAAGCTGCGTCAACAGTTCCGAGACCTCCACAAGCAGCAGAACGTGCTTGCTATGGAGAAGCGTCAGCAGCAAGAAGCCATTGCAAGAGCTCAGGACCGCAGCGAGCAGCTCATGCGACTGAAATTCGGACAGCTAGTGGACCTGGAGGTGCTGGACCGCGCTTGTGACGCGTCTTCGGTGGACGAGTTGCTGACTCACGTCAAGTTATGCGAGGTCGAAGGTGAGCGATCTCTGCGTCAGACTCGCGTCAAGTTACGCGAGGTCGAAGGTGAGCGATCTCTGCGCCATTGCATACCGAAATCCATCTCACTGGAGAAAAAGACTCAGTAGAGAGCTTATACTAAGACCAAAATCAATTGACGCCATATTTGATTCAGGTTAATGGAGCGAATACCAGTGGATTTACGCATCTCTGCTATAGCTGTACTCTCTCAACTTCAGTGACGATGGGAAACAGAATCTGCAGTTTTACTTTCCGAGCCCTGATTCCACGCAGTGTTCGTTCTTGGGGGTAGTTGGGGACATTCTCAGTCGGTAGTTCTGTGCGATCGGGGAGCGGAATAATATCTTCGAAAGTGCCGAGGTCTGCTGTGCTTAATGAGTCGGGAGGGGCTTGTGCGTCATTTGCGACGGGTGAGTCAGGAATGGCGTTCTCCCATGCAGCAATGCAACCCTCGTCGCCGTCTATGTCACCGCCATCTTCACCAGAATTGTCGTTGGCCCCATCGCTATCTCCTGCTAAAGCGAAGGTGTCGTGAAGGTCTCGGGTTACTGAAGGTGTTGGAGAAGATGCTATTTCGTGTGGTGATTGGAGCACGGGCAGATTTCCAGCTCCGCAGTAAAGCAAGCGACTTGCATGTGAGCTTGCATGGCTTCCTCGTTGCCTAGCATCTTCACTTCTTCTTGCTCGACCAGACTGTCGAACGGAGCTGCCACGTCGTGTGCGATCAGCGCTTGATGGAGTTCGATGACGTGGCGTAGTATACAAGTTAGAGGACTGCATCTCGGCTGTCTCATCAACTTCGACCGCTTCGTTAGCCAAATTTCGTCCTGGTGTGACGTTTTCAAATAGGCTGGGAGCTATACATTGTGTGTCGGCATGATCACCAACACTATCACATCGCTCAGGAGAGGAAGTGGTAGGGAAGCTCGGTCGGATCAAGTGGTGCAGTTGCTTTATCTTTGACTGTAGCAACACCTTTTGTATTTTTCTCTCGGTTTTTGCTTCGGACATGTTGTCTGACAATCTGCTGCTTGAGTGTTTTTTCAACACGCGTCTGGTTGCGCCGTGGAGAGTGAATAAGACCAAGCTCACTGAAGAGCCGTTCGCAGGTGGCGGTGTTCACAGCAATTGACAAGATAGTCAGCGCTAGCACCGGTAGCTTATCACACGGGTTATTCCTTTGCTGATACGTCCAGTATTGCATGATAGAGCCACTAAAATCCGCCGGGGTTGTGTTGCCGTACTGACCTATTATCCACGCAGACATTTCCCCTCGCAAGCCCGTGACATCCTCATCTATGTAGCGACGGTGATAGTACAGCGCAGATTCACATACGTCATGCTCCCTGGTCAGTCTTGTAGATGGCGTACGACGAGCTTCTTCCACAAAAACAGGATGAAGAAAATATCCCAAGATAAAAAGAGGCTGCTCACACGAAGCCCAGCGCTCTTCCACACATTCTACAAGCTTGTCTGAGTAATCACTAGCAGCAAACCCCTTAAAGATGTCTCCAAATGATTTCACAACGTCTGCTAGGGTGTTTTCATCGCGCTGCAATCGAAAAGACGCAATACAGAGGGGGCGCACAACTTTTTCCGCATCCTGTAGATCCCGCCAAAACTGTTGTTTCCCCAGAACCCGAAGTTTGTCAGGGAACTCGGTATCGTTTCTATATGCAAACGAGAAATCTTCAAGGGCCGATTTAACTCGTAATAGTGATGCAAAACATTTTTGCATGGAATTCCATCTTGTTAGACACAGCGAGAACAGCGCCGGAGCTGGAGACTTGCCGTATCGCGCAATCATTGCCCTATCAGCGCGGACAAGCCATTTCTCAGATGAAGCATTCAGGAACCTCACTGCAGCTGCGGCCTGCTCTGAAACATCTCTAAAAACTCGTTTTAGCACTGCTTTTACCAGATTATTGATGTCGTGGGCGAAACATCGCATGAAAGTAATGCCAGGCCATCGTAACGCAAGAATCCGTCTAGCTCGACCACACTGACCCGCGTTATCAGTAAAAACTGCTCCGACATTCCAGCCTCCATCAAGTAATTCTACCAAAATCTCTTCAAGTTGCTTTGCAATTACCAATGCATGATGCTCCGATCCGGTGGGACGTAGCGCATAAGTCATCACATCGCCAAATAGTGAAAGTTGACACCCCAAAATGTGTTGCTTGGCAATATTTTGCCAAACGTCCGAGAGAAAATTAACACGACCACCCGAGACTCGCTGAATTAATGCTAACGCTTTACGTTGTTCGCCAGCGTAAGCTTCTGCGTACTTGTCGAGTACATCTTTACCGAAAACATGTCGACCGGGAAATGCTCCTTCACACTTAGCATTCAGCCACATAAGCAGGTTGCGAGCTGACCGGAGCCCCACGAATGAGTCAGGCAGAAGCGCTTCGGCCTGGAACTCCAGTAGGAGCCTCCAGAATGTATCTCGCTCTGCTACAGTAAAACTCGACGCCTGTTTTGGCTTCTTATTTGAAGGCGTCGATGACTCGTCACCAGGGCGCTTAAATCCAACGAACTCGCCTTCGTAGTGCACGCATCGACTAAGATGTTTTTCCCAGTAATCTCTCCGTCCCCGGATCCGCTCCGGATCAGGTCCACGGTGGTCGATGTGGTGCTGCTGGCACCGGTTGCATACCGTCCAGTAGAGGGCGGAGTTTGCCTTCCCGCCAGTACGTGTGAAAAGCGCGCTAAGTTCGCCTGGGGGGCGACCGGATTTAGCTGGAGGGCGAACAACAATCATGAATTTCGGCGAAAGTCTTGTGGAGTTGGAAGAGAACGAAGAACTGGCTTAAATGTTGAGCTAGGATTCGAAAGATCCGAAGCTTGAAGTAGCTCGCTAACTTCAAGCAGGTCCATTTTTACAATGCTTACGTAAATATTTTGTAGAAACGTAAAAAGTCGAGTTATTAATAGCTTTTTACTTATTAATGTAGAAACCTTATTACCAAACTTGACAACACTGACGTGAGTGAGTCGGAGAAACAACTGTGAGGCACTCCTTCTCGAACGAAAATCCCAGATTGCAGACAAGCGAGTGTCGGGAAGTGGCACGTCCAGGTCTCTCTTATTGTGCAGGCCAACTCACGGTCACTCCACGACTGGACTTATGCTGGCATGTAGGTAGGTGACTATTCCATCAACTACCTTAGTCTATCAGCTACCTTAGTCTGGCTATGAAAACTCGCTGCACTCCATCACTCTGCATTTTGCTGCCCAGCACACATCGAAATTCCACATGACACGACGGACCAGCGACGTTGCTTCTGCGGGCTTCAGTCCTACGACGTGGACGACAGACGCGTTACCTCCCGTTGAGCTGTCGACTGATCAACGGGAGAAATACCGACTGCTTGCAACTCAATTGCTCTCAAACACACTCCGGGATTATGACATTTACTCTGCCGATCCGAGACAACGGCCCATGAGTCGACGGCGATGGAAACCCGTGAAGACCAGAGATCACATCACCGTGTATAAGGAGCGCTATCCGACGCCGAGCTCTCTGGCATCTACAGACCACCTTTCTGGTCCGCCGTCACGAACTAGTCGGGCCAGTCTAGCAGACCGCGTGTCCATGGCCTTCCGTAGCAACGAGTGGACAGAGCCCAAGCTACTCGTGGCCGCAGGTTGGGTAGAAGGCACGCTCGACGACGTCATGTACGGCGTCTCCTCGCCCGATGCACAGAGCATGTTAATGAAAGCAACAGTAGTCAAGAACGCACTAATCAATGGCGCGGTACTAGCCTGCATCGACGCGCCTTGCGACGCTGACCCGTTCCGATTTCTTGGCATTAAATGGTTCGTGAAAGGCCCTCCGACAGGTCTCCAGGGCATCGTGAAGCCTCGAGACTTGGTGTTTATTGAAGCTACAGGGATCACAACCCGACCTAATGGTGAGCGCATTGGCTACCAGCTTCTCCACTCGGTGGATCTGCCTCAGTATCGTGACATGGAGCCGCGTTCTGGGGTCGAAGTGACGCGCGGTCGAATCTCAAGCTGCTCAATATTCAGGGAAGTACCCGCAGGACTTGGAAGCAGACATTCCAAAGTCGACGTGTACGTCAAGGGATATGTAGAGGCGCACGGGAAGCTGCTGGACTCAGTGGCTCTTACCGCCGCTTCAACAGGTCTGATGAGCTCCTGGAACTCTGTAGAGTGTGCGAACCTCAAGAAACTCATGTGGTGCTTCCGCCAGCAGCCTGACTGGGGATGTGGCCGACGTCGCAACAAGCATCGACCCAGTCAACACTCCCACGCCAGCAACAGTCTTAGCTACTCAAACTTAAGTCAAATCGGCAACAACACTAACAGTATGAGCACTACACGTCGGCCACCTCGCCGACAGGAGTCTGAGGACGCACACGTATCTACGTGTGGCACATGTATCAAACGTCTGACCAAGCTAAGCGGTGCGATCTCCTGCGCGCTGTGTCATCAAAGCACTTGCTCTCGCTGTCGAGTGTCTCGGACACTTAAAGAGGTGAACGGGGAGCTGTGGCTGCGTCAAGAAGACGTGCTCATCTGCAAACGCTGTGTCCTTCAAGTCGACAATCTCGCGGCTGTGGACGTCGCGCGAGCGGAAGTGGAGGCGAAGTGGCTCTCGATGGATGGTAGCTGTGCAAGCTCCCAAGGCGGCTTCAAGAGCTTCGCCAGCACAGGTGTGACAACCGACACAGGTGCGAGCAATACGACGCTGCCAACAGAAGAAGAATACTCACTCTCTGTGCTGTCACCGACTACAGATCAACCCATCGACTCGTTCCGCGGCTTGGAACTTCAACCTGAAATTGATGAACAAAGTGACGAGCACCAAGAAGAGAAGGAGAATGTACCGCTGTCAGACCGCGAGCGTCGAGAACAAATCTGGTCGCAGATAGTGGAGCTGCGCATGGTGGCCGAGTCCATCTACCAACTCACTTTAGAGACCTCCGAGTCGCTCAATACCCCACAACGGACCCACAGATGAGCATAGGAAGAAGCACAGATAACGATAAATGCATTACAATTCGGAACGAAAACCTTACAAGCACGTTTCACTTTCTTGTCTCTCAATTCAACAAGTCGGTCATGACACTGTCGGAGCGTGCACGCGGTGAGTCCAGCATGCACAAGCTCTCTACCGACGCCGTGCAGAAGCTGTTGTCCAGCGAGAAGTTGCGTGCCAGCGCGTCCAACGTGCTGGGTGTGAGCGGGTTGAGCACCTCGGGGCGTTGTGGACGCAGCATTTCCTGTCGTTGCACCTCCTTGGCGTCGAGTTGCTTGACGAACTCGCGACACGGAGGGCAGATCCGTATCGGGAACTTGCGTGCTCTAAAGTACGGGTCGATCTCGTACAGATCTTTCTTGACGCGGCAGTTGGAACACAGCGGCGCCTTGCACAAGTTGCACACTCGGTGCGCGGCTCGGTATTGCCAGATCTTATTAGCCACGCTCTTGTCGCACGAGGCGCAGCGCTTGGCCAGTTTGGCGTGAAAGGCCTTGACGCTGTTGCTGTGTACGCGGTGGTCGATGCACCAGCGCAGTTTCTTAGCATACGCGAAGTCTGGTACAGTCCAGACCTGCTCGATGCACTTAGCAGCGTGGGCCATAGCTAGGGGCCCCAGGATGCTGCCCATGTCGGCTTCCATACTATAGCTCTTGATGAACAAGTCGACCGTTCCATTGGGTCGTTCGCGGTAGATGGAGCCGATGACGATGCGTGTACGGCGCAGGCCGTCGACGGGTAGGAAGGCGGGGTGGTCGATCGAGTGGTGCACCTCGTAGCCGATGAACTCGCCCGTGTCACGGCGTCTCAAGGTACCCGTACCTCCTAAGAACATGACTTCTCTAGGGGCCACAAGCTTTCCGGACACGCCTCGAGGTGGACGCACCTCAATCCACTTGAGAGCAAGAAACCGGAACGGGTCTTCCTCGGTCGGACCCATGAGCTGTTTAAGAACGGCCCCGTTGCCGATGTTCTTGTCCACGACGGCGGATTTCAGTGCCATAGCTTGGCTGTTGCCCATAAAGACACCGTACATGAGCTCACTTAGTGGACACTGTACGTAGCCCATGCCCAGCACTACGTCTTTGGACGGGCGCGACGTGGTGCTGCGTCCACCGTCCGCCGCCACGTACGCGGCTTCGGGCGCGTCGTCGCAGCGGGTGTAGGTGGTGAAGTGATCCTTGTGGTGGATCTTCTTCCAGAGACGCGGGTCCTGCTTATCGTGTGAGCGCGGTTCTACGTCGTGTTCGTCCAGGTCGCGCAGTGTGCGGTCCAGCAGCTGCATGGCCATCTCTTGGAACTTGAGCTGGTCCTCTTCGGACAGCTCCGCGGCCTGGCGCGGCGGCTGCACGGGCATCGCCACCATGGCTGAGGTTAGTCTTGTTGGTCTGGAAGAGCGAATTCAGGTCTGGCAATGAGGGCACATGGCAATGCATCGAGTGCAGCATGGCGGGGGAGGTGGCGATGGCGCATGTGCTACGTCGAACGAGACGTGGACCTGACGACAATAGTTAAAAAGGGTGATATTAGAGAGGTTGAAGTGACCGCTCTAGAGAGCAAACAGTGAGCTGTGATAATACATAAGCAAATGAATATACAATATTAGAATATTACTTGATACCGCGGGATTTGGCGATGATGACCCGAGGTCAGGAAGCGCATCAGTGGTGGGATGCCTGGCAGAGCCTATCGCAAAAGGCTTCAAACAGCAACTACGGCAACATACAATCACAGTAGAGGCCTGCGCACTGCCTTGTTGTCTTTGTTGCTCAATGGCGCATGCGGCAAGTTGAAGGCTTTTGTCTGAGTACTTGGCTCGTCGCCGTGTTTACAAAATGTTTACTGCCCACGCTGCACATGAATTGCGAAGGGCTCTCTATCATCGAGCCACCCGCTTTTGACGTTTCACAACCGAATCGGCCAGGTAGTGCCGAGTCGGCACTACCTGGCACTGCCGACAGACACGAAATACGGGTACCGCTAGTACGTTGTACGACCCCCCATCCCCCACACACCACGGAACTCCATGTTTGTCTGGAAACACCGCTCTGGTGTTTGCTAAATGCGAGTTAATGATTACCGAGCGCCGGCGTATGGTGATAATTCTGTAAACCGTGCGTTCATGGCGAAAAGATCGATTTAACACCCGCTTGTGATCACTGTTTAGATATAATATCCATAGAGAAATTAATCAGACTGTATACGAGATCTCCTACTTCAGACATCAAATTGCTGAAGTTGTTGTGTTGCCTGTTTTTGAATTTTTGCTGGACACTAAAACGTTATCCTGTTTTCTGTAGAGAAATGTTTGTCTGTATCACTCTAGAACTTTTTTTACGGTATGAGATCTCAAGAGAGCTCAAGAGAGCTCGTATAATAAATACTACCGAAGTAAAACGTTCTTTATAAATATCTGATATGTTGCGTTCTACTTCAAATAGCGTCGCGTTCAATCTCTGGCGAGCCAAATCTCCGCCAATCACGCAAAGCACTTGTATGACTGCTTGATTTTAGTACGAGGAGGCTTTGAAAGGTTTGCTTTACAGCTCAGTTAAATTCAAGTTTGTGCGTAATGCACAATAAAAGGTGTATTCCATAGCGAAGCAGAGCGAAGCAAGGGAATTGTGTTTTCCACACCAGTTTTTTTGGACCGGTATACCGAAACGGTATCGGTATACACTGCTCGTGGCGAGCTCTCTCACTTCGTATTTGGAGAACAAGCAGCAAGCAGTCAAGAAATACCCGCCTCTCCTCGTCCCTTTTCGGATCGAGCTGATGGTCATTGCATAAGCTCTCATTAATGTATTTGTTCGTTTGACCCCCAAGGATTGTGGAAAAACGCTTCTAAAAGCGTTATTATCAGAATTTGTTGTAACACGACGATATAGTTGGTTAAAAAACTTGGACTAACAGCTTCGATTTCTTTTGGGCCTTGACCAGAAAACTTCATTTTGGAACTGAACAATGATGCCTCGACAGCGAGAAGCAGTATGGGAATTCTAGTGGTTCAAGGGCCGCCCCAAGCTCCATTATTAACAAAATTCAACTTTTACCATTTTCTGGGGAGTTATTGGCGAGCCAAAGCTGCGATTCTCGAAGCCAAAGCAATGAAACCAACGGACGTACTCGAAAGAGAAACCACTAACCACCGCAGACATAGCTCAGGATAGTTTGCTCATTCTCCGTCTTCCCGTCGAGCCGACAAGTCTCCCAAGTCTTTCTCCGACCACTCTCTCCAGCACAAGATGCCTACTCCCGTCACGCACGTCCTGCTCATGCCTGAAGATATCAGCGGCAGTTCACCAGGACCAAGGCCGATGTACAAAACGGTCATTGAAGTTAACGGACCCCAAGCGACTGTGGGCCTGATGCAAGCCCCCCATACGTCCGTCCAAGTTCGTACTTCCCTACTCTCCACTCGTCGGGTCGACCCAACAGAATTTGCAAATGGAGCTCCGGGTGCATGGCTTCGTTATCCGGTGGTGTGGATCAGTAACGGAACTTATGCGTATGGCCAGGTGGTGTCGTACGGAGAAGGTATGGCCAGCATTCGCACCTCCTCTGACATCGTGGAGTCTTCGATAGCTGACCTTGTCGAAGTTGCTCCCGTCATATGCTTCCTGATGGCAAACTTTCGGCCGTCTACCGATACCCTGGATGTGGCAACTCTGCTGCAGCATCTCGAACTCATACTTGACCGTATACTTGCTAGAAATGGACAACGAGCAACCAGATCTATCCCGCGTATTCTTCAAGGAATAGTTCGAACCCGGCAGCAACCGGAAGCCACGACAGCTTCTTGATGGATTAACAACACTTCGGGGAAGGCGATTCTGGTTTCAGTACGTCACGCCGTCGATTATGTCTACTACATTGACGGAGGTCGCCGGCTCCCAAACAATCAACATAACAACATTGGAACGAGCCTAGACAGCGACCCAACCTAGGCGCCCCTCCCTCTGACGCGAGATGATGTTGATGATTCGGCGGAAAACGACGACCTCGATGCCATCCTACAAGCTATCCAGCCCAGTAATAGTAGCTGTCCAGCTGCACCTGGGCCACGATCGATCGCTATGGACGATTCGGTTCCAAACGCCCAGCCAGAGACGATCAACCAGGAAGTTGAACAAGCTTCCCACTCCACGGTTCAAGCAGCAATCGCCGATGATCCGGAACTCGTTCGTTTTTGTCTGACTATGTGCAAGTCTACAACGGGGAAACGACCTGCGCCTCCAGCTGAAGACCGCGACTCACAACGCCGTCGGTTGACAAGTCCATTGGACTTACTTGACCTGTCCTCAACGCCTAAACGACCTGCAAAGCACGCCTTCAACCCGTCCAGGCCTCAACAAGCAATAAACCGTCTCTTGGCATCACCAAATCACGCAGGTAAGTCTCCATCTACCCTTGCTGAAGCCATGATTTCTTCCCGGGCAACCAAGTTCAAGCCTCATCCCGCAATTATCGCAAGGGTGTACGACTTCGAGTTTGGCAGACGCGGTCTGTCTGTTATGCATTTTGTACGATATGATTTTGCAGCTCGCCGAGCTTGGTACGCAAACGCGTCGGTCAACTTGAACAACTTTGCAGCATCGGTCTCGCTTCTGACGGCCTCGAAACCCCAATCATTGGATGATGTCTCCAATGCCCTCAGTGTACTTCACGTGTTTGCCGAAGAAGTCTTCGACAATGGGACGTGCCGGCTGATTAGCTGTGCACGAGAGTTCATTGAAGAATTACGTTCCTTTTGTCACTGGAGTGCTCAAGATATTGCCACGCTTACATTCTGGTTTGATAGTATCATGGAAGAATACCGCGCAGCTTCAGAGCAGGACGCCCGGCTTGAAGCTCGACCCGCTACACGATTACATCAAAGCTGTCTCTACAAGACCCAGATCTGCAAAGTGTGCTATATATCATCCAATCTGAGCGTCTCGCTGCCTTGTGGACTGCGGCAAGTGCTCTACGGCGGCCACCAA